CCAAACCTTTGGTGTCCATAAGGATTTGGGTCTTTCGCCTATCTTCTTTCTTCTCAAGGCTCTTAGCCAATTCTCCTACGGCTGAGGCTAGCATTGATACCCCGCCTTGAGACTCCCTCAACACTTGGTTCTCTTGCTCCAACCTCGTTTGGTTCTGTTGGAGTTGCAATACCATATCGGTCAGCTGTTGGATCTGTTGTTCCATGGTTCCCTACTCTCAACCCTGCTGCTGCCGCTCACTCCTTTTCCAGCGGCCGCGGGCGATTCGCCCGGTCAAGGATCGGAAGCTTTTGGCACTCCACGGACTTCAACAGTAGTCCGTGTGAGTTCTTCCGGGCGACGGCCCACAGTTGTGGCCTTCGCTTTAGCTGCCACTTTTGGTGCGGCTGACGGTTTGGCCTTCCCTTTTGGTCCGGCCTTCGATTTGGCCTTCTCTTTCGGCCGAGGTGTCAGGCTCACTTTTGGTGCCGCCTTTGTCTTGGCGGTGGATCCGAGGCGGGCAGGTCCCTTAAGACCACGCCGCTTGATGTAGTCCTGAACCACGGGCAACTGTGCCTGCCGTCGTTCGTCACAAGAACTACAAGCCTCGTTGGATCCTCTCTTTCCCTGGTCGTTGGGGGTCTTCCAGAGTTCGCGAATGGCGGCCAATGCAACGGTACCCTTGAGGCCTCGTTGCTCGACAAGTTCGTCGGCCGCAAGCTTTCGCACTTGGAACGGGCTCTCTAATTTCCAATTTTCTATCGTCAATCGCTGGGCCCGCTCGTTGGCTAGGGCGACGATGCGGAGGTTCAACTCCAGTGCACGTCCCCAGACCGCCCGTCCCCGCTCGGTGTCGCGGGTTTGCGGTCGCTTAGCCGGCGGTGGCCCGTCCGGTGTTCGAGGCGGACTTGGTTGGCTCACCGACTCTTCTTCTTCGACCTCCTCCTCGGCTGAACCAGCCGCTTCACTCTTCTCTGAGGTCTTTCTCTTCTTGGTCCGCTTCTCTTGATTGCGGACCCTCTGCTCTTCCCGCTCTTCTTTGATCTCTTGTGGAGTGCGCCCTTTTCCGAACTCTTTGATGCGCCTCCTCAGATCTTCTGTGATGACACCCTTCTTCTTCTGCAACCTGACCAGGTCCTTGAGCCTCCGGTACTGAAGCGAAGTCTTGCTTCGAAGTCGGAATCCGGACTGTGGCTCTGGATGCTTCTTGACCTGTCCCCAAATATTCTTCTTCACCCTCCAAGGCGCTTTGGGATCAACCTTGGCTTCAGTATATTTGGTGTGAATGCCACGGACTTCCCAACCTGTTTTGACACCTTCTGGGGATGTGATGAAGTCGGCGATCACTCGGCCAGACGATGGCTGGATCAGCCACTTCAGCCTCTGGCTCTACTGTGGGGTCTTGTTCAGGCTTCTCTTCTTCTCCTCCTTCTGTCTCTTTTGTGGTCTCTTCTTCTTCTTTTGTTTCCGCGGTCCCTTCAACCGCTGATGTTGTTTCGGCAGTTCCTACAACCGCCGGAGTGGTGTTCGCGGCCGATTCTGCCGCTGATGTGGCTGGCAAAGGCTCCTCCTCCTTTTCTTCCTTTCCACTCGGGGCGGCTGAATCAGCCGCTCCCGAGATTTCCTGATCCTCCTCCTCGGAGGTCTCTACCTTGCTATGTCTCTCCTCCTTTATGCGCAGCGCTTGGTCCCTTTCGCTTTCACCGGGCTCACGCGCTACCATGAAAACAGAGTTTCGACGTTTCGGAACGCCTTTTCTCCTTGAGCCAAAACACATCAAGAGTCACGTGTCTGCAGTACCCTAGCGGAGTATATATGGGCTGTACATACAAACAGCATATATGAAATATATATATATATTTGTCTACTATACATACAGCATTATACAGCATTTAAAACCTGACAAACATTGCTTTAACTTTAGGATTATTCCTGTGACTTGGAAGAAGTAATTATTTGTCCACCGACTCCAAGCGTACAAGCTCCCACCTCTGCTGCAAGGGCCTGCAGCTGCTTCATTTATTTGGATGGGTTAATTAACTCAGCTCTGCAGATCTTCTCTTTAAGAAAGCGACAAATCGTCTGGATCCCATGCACCATCTCCGCCATATCCATCTGCGCTACCTGAGCTGCAGCCTTTCGACGCTCAACGGCCAAACTTGTGATCGGCCTTTCACCAAGCTGCAGGACCAATCACCACAATCAGTTCGAGGGCTATCCACGTTGATCATATCCTCGAAACACTCATATCTGGGGTTGCAGAATGTCGCTGTGTGCTTTGCCAAGGATCCATTTCCACTCCCGGGCCGAAGCGGACGCCCGCTGGATGACCTTCCGGATCTGCGATCTGATTGTAGCGGCCTGATTGCAGAAAAACTGACACATTGCGAACGTTTGGAGCAACTTCTGCCGCTTGGCGTCGATTCTTTCCGCGTCAAAGCCCTACAGCCTTGTACACACCATCTGCGTTCAAAACCCGGTATCTCGTATGGGCATGTACCAAACGGTGGCCTTAGACAAAAATCTATTCAAGCGCGTGCAAGCGAAAGGCTCGAAAAAACCCGCTCACCATTTTGCAGTGGACTCAAGTGAGAAGTGCTGGCCTGGTTCCTGTACCGTTCAAATCAGCTATGGGCTTTCAGCAATGCTTTGGGCCTTTGTTCATACCTCTTTCCTACCACTTTCGCGGCGGAACCTTTGTTAAATAACAGTGTTTCAGGGTCAAATGCACACTTCAACAAACGTGCAAGTAAACCGACCCTAGCTGCGCATGCACGATGGGCACCCCAATGGGCATGTACCCTGAGAGTGATTTTTTGTATATTTTATGTCTTCAGGTCTTTGGGGAGTAAGCTCAAGCTTGCAATGGAACAGTCTTCATTGGGTGCTTGCAAATTCTGCAATACTTCTGGACAACTGTTTTGATTGATTGGACAAATCAAGCTATCCCGCACATGGATGCCAACATATAGGTAACATGGGAAACACATAATCAGAACAACCGCCTTCCAAAACTGCGAGCACTTTCACAGCAAGAAACCCGGTTTCGCTCTCTTGGGCTTGTGCCCCTTGTGTTTGTCGGCCAAAAAGAGGAGCCCCTAGTAGCGTCCATGGTCCTCATCTAGATTTCTTTGTTGAGCCTTTTGATGTTTTTTGATACAACTTAGCTGAGGCACTAGATGTCCTTCGCTCTCTACATCTACGTTGCACTGGGAAGGGTTTAAAATCTCTGCCTCGTATGTAGTGTTGGCTGAAACACACATTTTGCAAACTTTGCGGGTGCCTGCGCCACCTGGACTGGAACATGTGGTCCTCACATCCTGCGAAGCAGCCTGAGCGACAGCGACCAAGCAACTTCAAACGAAAGTCCCATCAATCACAAAATCGGCAGAACAAACCGACTTAGGCCGAGAGCCCAAGACGGGCGACCAAACCGGCAGAGTGCATGGACTTTCGACGGAATGCAATGCTGCAAAGTTGCCGTGAGAACTTTTTCAAACCTCGAATCAGGCAGGGCCGCAGGGCGCTTTCCGATTATAGAGTGCCACAGAAGGAACAAACATGTCCAAGAACCTTTATTAGGTTGACAAAGAATGTAGATCTTCAGACTTCAACCTTGGATCTTTCTGGATTCAGTTTGAAGGCAACCTTGGTCAACTAATCGGCGATGGGCCATGGGCACCCGCATTAAGACAGCCCGTGCACAGCCCGTGCATGTTTTTTGTTGAATGTTCAACGACATACTTTCGACCACATGTGGACCATAATATTTCTTTGCACATCCTCACCACTGGTGGTGCAGCTGGTCCATGTATGGGGGCACAGCCGGTGAAATGTTGGAGGAAAGAGTCGTGAAACAATGGTGAGGAAAGCATTGTCAGCAGTGCCAATGAAGCGCGGCCAAACGCTGCGAGCACCGTGAGAAACTCTGTATAGTTCACATACTTTCCAACTTCTGCCCTGGAGTCCCTTTTGATAGGGAAGCATGGAGGCCCCTGTCCCCGATTTGGGGGGCAACTCCACGCTCCTCCAAGTGCTTTTTGTCCAAGTGACTGTGGGGACAATCTGTCAATTTCGACGGAAGCTTCCAGTCCCTCTTGCATCACGTCCTGAGGAAAAAACCACCAAGTGTCAAGCCCGCAGAATTCCGGCGCCTTTTTGACTTCTGCACCTGCTAGCCGGAAACGACATGAAACAACCACGGCGGCCATGCGTGTCAAGGCTGCCAAGGCACTAGCTCAAGCACTCCCGGCCCGGACGAAAGGCCAACTGGGGTGTGCTCCAAGTTTGGATAAGGATTTTGAGGGCTTCGCCCATCGTCTGCACAAGACCAACCGACAGTGAGAGTGTCTTGGCATTATGCCAGTTCTACACTTGGGGTTGTGCACCATCAAGTTTCTCAACGCTCTTTTACAATCGTTTTCCGTATCGTTTTCGCTCCGCTTTCAATGGTGTGTCTGCGGCCTATGGCATCAATGGCCTCACCAAATGCGAAGCACACTGCTGATTTCTCAAGAACCAACAAACAAAATCAATCGAATATGGTTACTACTGAAATAGTATCAAACAGGCAGTCTTTTTTTGAGTTTCCTCAGTTTCCTCATACTTGCCCCAACCTTGACCGGTGCCAGTTCAATCGAGAAGATGCACGACGACTCGCGAGAGCGCCTTCTCGCCGACGGCCATATGCGAACCGGCGCAGAGTGTCGGCTGAAGCCAAAGGGCTAAACCGCTGCCCGGAGCTTTAGGACTCGCCCAAAGGTGTGTGAGCCGTAGCTAACCGTGGCTTGGGCTGACCATGTTGACTCTCGTTTGTCGCTTTCTGCCCCTTGGATCTTCCGGGCAGCTTTGAGGTGACACTCGCTTGAGAATACTTTGCGGAAGCTCAAAAGGTTCAAGCTCGGGCAGCTTTGCCTTCAACTTCAGCCCAACAGCTTTACAAACTGAACTCACCCATCTGTCTCTGTTGCCGTTTCAACTTTGCTTCCATATGCTTCTCCATGCGCTTCTGAGTTGAGAACTGCAATGTCGTAAGTTCCAGGAAGACCGAGGTCCACTGCTTCGCCTCCCCGACGTAGGCTGTCTGCCCCCCGACAGCACAGGGGAAACCTCGGCCAATTCGGGGGGTGCAAGAAAATTGGCAAAACCGTCCGAACTTCATTAGAAACAATAAGCTACTAGTAACAAGTGCCACGCTAGTAGTAACAAGTGCCTTACTAGTAGTAACAAGGACGCTAGTACAAATCTCCGTCCGGACTTTGTTCACCGAGAAGCTCTTGCTGAGGGATTTCACCAGCTCATCACACTTGAGCTGGTGGTACCTCAAAATGCATCTCCCCGCACGGAAAACAACGCCAATGTTGTAATCACCGACAAGGGCACTGCAGGTCAAACCACCTGGCAGCATGTTGTACTTGCAACACGAACCTGGGCTTTTGCCCCCTATATCATATCTATGAACTCTGCCGCTCGTCGTGCGCTAATGGAAAAAGCGATGGGTTCAAGATTCTTTGATGTTGCATTAAAAAATAGAAAGAATATAATAAATACAAAACACTATTAAGGATGGTTCCTGTGCTAACTTTGAGCGCAACAAACAAACATGATGTCTAAAACATAGAGCAAAACAACTTGGTCGAATAGTATATGACTCTGATGACAAACTATCGCACAAGCTGCCTGGACGGATAGGCGAATACCAAGGATTTGGCCCTGAGATCATCCTGCGTTCAACACTAGTCCTCCAACATCCTTCAACCTCCCAGCCCTTTCCTTCGGCCTCTTGCTGCATTTGTTTACACATCTTTCTCTGGATTTGAGCAGTTGCGAATGGAACATGCCGAATGGTGTGACCGCCATGCCTGAGCCACCGTGATCTGACATTGTGCAGCTGGCACCAAGTGCCAAGTACCGACCTCGCTGGTCGAACTCGAGCGCAGTTGGCAAGTACCATCCTGTGCACGCGAACTCCGCTCGCGCCGCTCAGGTCACCAGGTCTGGTCTGGTTATCACACTTTGCGCCGCATTTCCGGAATGCTTTAAACCCAAACGTTGGACAATTGGTTGCTGCTGTGCCCATATGTAGAAGGCATGCTAAACAAACCATGCCAAATGTCTTGTTCCAAATTTGTTGGCACAACCCTATTCTCGGCCTGCAGGCTCTTTTGAAGTGCTTGCGTTTCAGGATGCCTGACCGAGCTCAAAAGAAATCGGACGTCCAGTTGTTACAAGTGACTCGAAAAACTCGGAGACGTTACTGGTAACACGACTCAAACAAAAGGAGAAAAAGAACCGTGCGACGTGTTACCTGACCGGCACAAGAGGACAAAAGCCTCTAGGAAGCGACAAGCCACAGCTGATGTATGGCACCTGAGGGTTCAAAGTAGCGTGCAGTCTCCCAAAAAATGTAGGAACCAAATCAATCATGAGAACACCACGGGGAAGAAGTAATAAGTAATAAGGCAACTGTGACTGGAAGAGGGATCAAGGCAAGAATGAGATGTTGAGGAAGACAAGGAAGTGGGAGCTTTCCTCACTTGTATATAGCAAGAATGCTTAATGAAACAATATTCCAAGATTCCTACTTACACGAACAAAGTGGTACACGCTGTGGACAAGATCTTATTACATTGTATAAATCTATTACTTTACCAATCTTTTGCGCAAGACTATTTGAAGTCACCACTAGAGTATGCAAAACATCCCCTTTACAAACAACAACAATATTTCGTCCTTGCTTTCTGACACCGGGTTAGATCAGGTGACGGATGTGAAGCTTCTCCAAGCAAACTACAAATCTGACAGCTTGCTCCTGTGATCCAAATGGCGAAATCGCTTGGCCTTGTCACCAGGACCACGGGCCCACTGACGGCGATGACAACGACAAGAACGGCCAACACCTCATGGCTACCGCAAACAAGCGGTACAAGGAAATTTCAGGACTGTTTGGGCCGGACAAGGCAAACAGGTGTCAAAAAATCAGTCAATGTCTGTGGGAGTCTCGTGGTCGGTTTGATCTGGGAGGTTTGTCGAAGACTTGCACTCGCATCGCTCGTCTTGTCTACCTCTGAGCACCAAACCTTCAGAAGGATCCTGAAGCACCTTGACTGCAACGAATCGGAACGACAAGTCCCAAGCTTGATCTGTCGCAATTCAGCAGTTTGGTGGTTGCAGGGTTTGCACACCCATTTGAGGATTAAGACATCTGGACATGTGGAGATGCCAAGCGTCGAAGCTTTCAAATGCTTCCTTCATGACTTCGAGGGTTCCTTCACTTGTTTGGCTCTTTCTTTGAAGGTTTACCTGAGAATCAAGCCGGAGTCCTGCCGTCTTCAATGCAGTTCCTTTGCCTGTGTGAGCCAGGTGCAGTCTCCAAGCGTCCAACAGCCGGCCATTGAGGCGATATTCAATGCTCATCCCAAATGAAGTGCAAGTGGGTATATCGTTTCTGCTATGCAAGTATGAAGGTGGACACGGATTGACATGTCCGTTGCCTGACACCTAGTAGCTTCTTGTTACTAGTAGTAAGAATGCTACTAGTAGTGCCAGGAGCCTCTAGTAGCGTCCTTGCTCCTAGTAGTAAGGCCAGGAGCCCCTAGTACCTCCTTGATGGCAAATTTTTGATCATGCCTTCCAACCTCCAAATGCAGGCCTTGTAAAGCCAGCACAAAAAACACCGGCCATGACACCAGCCAGGCCAGCAGGGTCAACGGATACCTGTCGAACTTCCGCCGATGACGGACTCCTTTATCGTGATTCCTTTCTGTCGTCGCGTCTGTGTGGTCGTCTGTTTAAGTGTTTCGGAGTCTCCGAATAGATGCATTGTGCCTAGTAACAAGGAAGCTACTAGGGGCTCCTGGCATCGCTACTAGGAGCAAGGACGCTACTAGGGGCTTCTGGCCTTACTACTAGGAGCAAAAAGCTACTAGGAGCATTACATCGCGATACCATACAACACCTATCACCACCAGGAGTCAACATGACTCAACTAGAGTAACAAACATGTGAGTGACAAAGAGAAAACAAATATGATCGCCATAGAATTTGTGCATTATAATGCATGATGTCATACTCGATCTGCTTCATTCTGCTTCAGCTGGGAGAACGTCCCATCTTGTTCCGCCTGGTGACCATGAGGAGCTCCACTTCTGAGGGCATCGGCTGTGTCAAAACTCCCAGCTTGGCACCCTGTGCGACACATCCGAGACGAAAGAATACGGTGAAAAAACACATGGGCCTAGGATGGCCTAGGGGTCACCGTTGAACACACTTGAGGAGATTGCCAAAAGGAGCCGAAGAAAGTACAAAGTTTTGGCACCTTCAAAAAAGCTGAGTGGATACCTTGACCGTATCGCAAATGATCGAGGCAAACATCGCTCAAAGGGGCCTCTGAGCTGGAGGAGAAAAAGCACCGGAAGGCGCCTTCGTGCTGTTGCACCTGGACTTTGTCACAAGATCCAAGCTGAGATCTGCTCTGTCTGAGTATCCGAATCTCCAAACCCTTGCGGGCAATACATGCCAATACTATATTGCAAAGTAGTCGTCGCCCGCGGATTGGTCAGCTGCCTGATGTTATTGGATTGTCGTTGATATCAGTTATCACAACACGACAAACATCAATTCATTGTATTTACAACATCGTCATTGGTTTCACAGCCTTGCCGTCGCATGGCCATGTGATTATATATACTAATATGGGGTGGGACACGGTGTTCACAATGTCATCGGCCGTAGAACATCAATCGGTTTCACAACATGTTCTGCTTCACAACAGTTTCAAGAACTCCATGACGAATGTTACGGTAAGGCATGCATAGATCAAAGCGGAACAAAGAGTGCTGACCTCATGCTGATGTCTGTGAAACATTTGTCTTCACTAGTTTTCAAACACCCATGTTCTTGTGAACACGGCCCCTCTTTGGGAGAAAAAGCAAAATGCATTTCAAACTCAGGCAACCAAAGCGCCCATGACCCACTAGTTTCTCCTATTTCTCTTGAAATTGCACACTTTCTTTACAGCAAAGATTGCGCTCCAAAGTAGACTCAGGCACAGCTCCAACTGCTGGGTAGGCGCTTAAAGACTTCTGAGACATCACCCAACCGTAACTGTAACTGACAATTGCAACATTCGTGGACAATTCAGCCTGAGCAGGTGACAGGTCTGGAGCTCTATGGGTACACATGAGTTCACATTCCACACCATCCACGTAACAAGAAGTTACTAGGAGCATTCTTATCAGGAGCAAGAAGCTAGTAGGAACAAAGGGCATCGCTAACAAGAAGCTAGTTTTGAGACCCACGCCCGCACGATCCACACCAACGTGGCACCTGAGAGGCACAAGTCGATCGTGGACTGAGGAACTCCTGGCGTCGCAAAGTGTAGCGAGAAGCTCGCTTCCCTTAGCCTCATCCACTTAAGACACTCGAGACCACCAAACCGCAACATGGAACATTTTTGCAGTGAAACATGGTGAAACTTAGCATAGAAAACTCACGAACGCCCTGCTGTCCTTTGGATTGTCAAACGTAATCAGCGTCCATCCTGAGCATGATGAGTTGTAAGATGTTGTAAGGCTACAATGAAGGCTTGACATTTCCTGGCACAACCTACTTTTGGTTGGGCATGCTTGGGGATGTGCCACTCTCACTCCTCCACACAAGTGATCGTCGAACGAATCCGGGGGTTGTATGCTACTCTGGTTTTGAAGACTTATCCACTCCCCTCCTCCATGCTGAAGACTTGCCGGCACTGGAGACCAGGTCTCTCCAGCCTGGAAGGCGAGATGCGAGAAGGTCCAGCCGTCCAGCCTGGTCCCTCCAGTCGACAGATTCGTCCAGTCTGACCTGTCTGTTCTGAAAAAAATCAAAGCTGTTCGTCAAAGCAGTTCGTCTGTGAAGCCGCGAAGCCTTGGAGCTCAGCTGCACCCAACAAGAGACACCCAAAGGCCTTGCCACACGACCCAGTTTGGTCGGGTCGACCCTCAAGAGTTCAATACAAAATACAACAATATCCATCTTAGATCATTTCATTTCCACATTTAGCAGTGAATTCTGATGGCAAAATGGTCGAGTGTCTCTTGACTCGGTTAAAGCATACCAAAGCCAACTATGCGACCAGCTTGCGCATTCGGGTGGTTGCTGGGCTCTTCGATACCGACTTGTCGCACTCAAGTGGGGTCGAATGCTGAGACATCTGCGAATGAACGTACGGGATCTCCTCGGTCGGGAGGATTCGGCAAGGAGGCAAACATGCAGAACACTCTCTTCGACCATTTCGAAGGCAGTAAGGAATGGACGCCGCTTGGACGGAAATTGGGGCTGCTCAGTTTGCAGCTATGCTCCTGTACAGAATTGACATGTGACCTTCACACAGTCAGAAGGCATATCATGTCAAAGGTTTAGTGAGCATATCACCGTGGCACATGGGTTTCTGGAACTTTCTTTTTGGCGCTTCACCCCTTTTGCCAGCTTGAAATAATGAATTCATATGAATTCATCGGAGTTATGAACAATACATTATCGACACATGTTTTTCACGTTTTGTCGTGTCTCTCCTCCAATTCATTGGAGAGACGTTCAGCCAGCGGGTAACCTACAGGTTGGACACTGTGTCGGATATCTGTGAGGATCAGCTTCTTAGGTGCCAGCTGCCCGCGAGAAGTGCAAGACCACACAAAGCCTCAGCGTCCTATTTCACAGGATGCTCCTAGTAACGATGCCAGGAGCCCCTAGTAGCGTCCTCAGGAGCCCCTAGTAGCGTCCTTGCATTTGCATGCATTTGCCATCTTGTTGCAAGTCCAGCCACGAAAAGGAGAAGGAGAGCCATGACGACCTGATCCGGGCAGAAACTTTGGACATCAACACTTGTTAGGCTTTTGTCAGGGAACTTCTTGGACCTTAGATGTTGACGGCCCAGCACATCAGCGTCCGTGCCTTCTTTAGTCGTTGACGCCATGTGGGTGGCGCAGCCTGGCCGCAACTTAAAAAGTACTTGCATCCTGATCATCCTGCACATGGAGAAATTGTTGGTCTTGAAATCCTCATTGAGTCTATCCCGACTGAGAACATCACCGGCAACTGGACCCTCTTCGGCGACCGAGAGACTTTGCCTTAATCTGAGGCGAAGCAACGAATGCCTCTTGCTTGCTTCGATTGCCGTGCAGTTCGAAGGCTTTGCACTTTGGATCAGTTATATACTCATCCAAATAGACTAAGCGATGGCCTCCAACTAAGAGGACTAGTCAAGTCCTTGCGCTAATGCTTATAGGCCCCCGAGCTCAGCTCATCCCGCTTTCGGTCCTGTCGAGGGTGGATCTTCAAAGCCCTGCTGTACCCTGTTGCACTCGGGTGCTCAAATGGAGTTCCAATTGGCTTGTGATGTAATTAGTCAGAGGTGAAATCCAGTTTTGACATGTACTGAGGTTTATCGTAATGCAGTCATTTGGTTTTGGTCGAGCCATTCCTTTTGACGTTGGGCTCAAAACACAAGGAAAGGTCTCCAGGTGATTCTCAGGTCTCCCTGCCTCACGCTCCGGGATGGCAGCTTCCGGGAGCTGGACAGAGGGATTTGTTTGAGACAAGAGAATCTGAATCTCTTCAAAAGCAAAAGAAACAAACCACAGAGATCTCTATCTGCTGTGCAAAACAACAGGAAAATGATCTGCAAGTGGTTTGAAACGCCAATGAAACAGGTTGATGTTTCTTGCGTATGCAAAGAACAATGTGCCATCTATATTGTTTGTTCTCAGCGACACAGGCACCTGCAAAGGCGGCTTCTTGAAGTCAGACCTTTAGATGAGAGAAGGAATCCGAATATGGGAGTTATTGATAAATTATCTGCTTGCCAGTGAAAGAAGAGTGGAAACGGCCGTAAATTGTAATTGGGCTCGTCGTCCGACGTGGCAGTTGCTCAAACGTGGCGGAACTCTTCAATGTTTAGCTACATTTAAGAAGGGGAACAACAGTCCATTCTAGTCCTTGGCCCATCCGTCTAAATCTTGAAAGCACAGGAAGAAAAGGGCGAGAACATAGAACCTGCGCGAGCTCGCTTGTTCCAAAGCCATCAATCTAGTCGAGGTCGGTCACTCAATCAGCGGATGGAACGTCCAAGTTTGACTGAGTCTTGGGGTCTACTTTTTCATGACCGCAGGACCTTCCCGAAACCACCCACAAAACACATCAGTAATTACTATTAAACAAATCATTAAACAACACAAACTTTGCTCTTCTCAAGGCCCTTGCGCTTTCATCTTTTTGTCAATGTTGTCACTGTCAAAGCCTCATGAAGGTCCCAATCGCCGGATTGGTGTGTACGTAGTAGAAAGCAGAAAGGCATGACTCAGCTGCTCAAGTTGACTCCCACTCAATTTTGAAGGATGCCGTCCTGAACTACTTACTAACATGCCTTTTTTTGTATGGAGGCTTTACATGGCTTTACATGATGCGATTCGATAATGACAAAGGAGTCGATGACTCAATTGGGCCCCACTCGGGCTCCGGGCGAAGCTTCAATGGTGGAGTACTGACCTCCTGTTCGGATCAACGAAATGGACGAAATGGACCATGGAGCTCATATGAGCACATGTGAGTGCATGGATGCCTTGAAAGCCTTGTCCCTTCCCTTTTCTATCTTTCCTCAACATAGCTTCTCGTAGGGCAGGTCCCTGATGTCTCTGAGAAAGGCTATGGACCTTCCCTCACCACTGGTTCAAGATCTCGAAACATGCATATATATATATATATGTATATTACAACATGTTATGTTACTATATAATGTCATATATATATATATGTTATACATATACATATGTACGAATAAGACCATGAATAACTCTATATGTTGCGTTTCGATCTCACGAGCTCTTTCCCCGAACTGGCAGCTTTTGCTCGAAGGATGATGGGGTCGGACCGGCAGTTCCCGTCTTGATGAGAAGGTGAAGTCATTGAAACCGAACGAGTCGTTGAAGTTCCATTTCGAAGCAAATCTCTAAGTCACTCTGAGTGCGAACAAGAAACTTCAACCAAAGGCTAGCCGAGACTTAATTCCATTGCGGCCTCATCCGCGTGGATGCGGACCTCGGGCTCTTCCACCATTCCATGAGCGCAGTGGCCTCAAAGAGAACCATTTTCAACCGGAAAAATGTCAATGTCTTTCCATACTAAGCTATTAGAAACAAGTGCATCGCTACTAGTAACAAGTGCCTTACTAGTAACAAGAAGCTATTAGAAACTTCTCTTATCTTCTCTTCTTTCATCCTCTTTCAGAGCCTCTTTCTATGCTTCTCTTGTCCCATCGTGTTCACATCTTTACGATACTCGGTCTAGGCATCCTGGCACGTCACCCATGGACCAAAGCTGAAGGTCGTAGCATTGGCCTCGGCTCGCTGAACGTCCAAAGCCGCGGCTGACGTAAACATAAACCGGGAACATCCGGGAACCTGACCTTCGGGAAAGGGATGGAAAGGACAAAGGACGTTTGAGGGACTCTTTACATCCCGTAACTCATTTTGCTCAATGCGAGTGATCAACCCGTATCATTGTCGATCCCGATTCCGAACGAGAGCAAACATGTAGAATGAGAAGGTCGACCCGTCGAGCCCAACTGGAGTTGACCTCGTCTTCTCTTATTTTGCTCTTAAGAAATCTTTTTACCATTTAATTCAGGCGTATGATTCTTGTTCAGTTGTTATCTACTCAGCCTTCAAGCCAAGATCTCACCTTTGCTCAAGGACTGCTGTGAAGCAACATCGGCCCCTTCTGCTGCCATGTCACCGGAGGGCGCCAGCCTTACAACGAGAAGATGGCAATCAACATGCTCCCTGCAACACCAACCACAAAGAACACATGTCCATTTCAGCATTCGTCCTGACCTGCCAACTTCACATTTACCTTGGACAAAACAAGGAGCCGAAAGACCTAAATATACCGAGACGATCCTCAAAAGAAGCCCAAAGCCCGAAATAAATAACCAAGTAACTTATCCCCTTAGCCAGCAAACTAAGCCAAACAAACCTTTAAAGAATGCCCAGAGTAAACCATGGCGTCTTGATTGAGACTCTCCTACAGCCCTGAACCCAAAAGAACAACAAACCAGAACAAACATGAACGCACCTTTCCTCACTGCCAGCATCAATTGCCCTTCACCAATCAGCTCTTTTGACATGAACCGTTGAATCTCTTGGCAAGACTAACAAATCTAACTTGTCCAGGAAGCAGCGCATAGACATTGAACAATATGTCATTGGATTCATCAAAGGGCGGGAGATTGCGAATAAGTTTGTTCCAAACTTCCTCAGCTGCTTCGAGGGCCAAGTAGCTGCGATTGCGGCTGACTTCCATGGCGACTGCTTTGAGCCCAGCTCAGTAAAGTAGACCAGTTGCTTTTCAATCTTTGGCATCACAACGATCAAGTTTTATGCAGTTTTTGTCAGTGCGCCAACAAGCCTAAGACCTAGCTAGTTTTTTGAAATTGTCCACACTTAGAATAAGTTGCCAACCACTGAAGCCAAGGTCTGCTGTGTCTCCTCCCACTTTGTCTCTACGTTTTCGTTCGTTTCATCCCTCCTCTGGCGCAGGGGTCACCTGGGTGGATCCAAGGAACTGAAGGCAAGGAATTGCAAAAACATGACATGACAAAACACTTAAAACACTGAAAAAAACAGTTAAAACACTGAAAGCAATCTGATCACCCATCACAATCACCTGTGTCCTCACCCGCTAGGACTTCTGAGTCAATACCTTGTCAACTTATCAATGTCTTTGAAGTAAACAAGCATTCAACTTTGCTCTTGCTTGTATTTTGCAGAAATGACATCTTTCCCTTGGCTCTGCGACCGCACAGTCGCCTGAACTGCGTAGCCTCCAGTGACAGCGATCACCGGGGGCACTGGCGCAGTCGCCTGGCGTCCGTGGAATTGGCTCTGGTCGCGGTGGCGTTGCTTGCACTCTTTTTTGCAAGTAGTTAGGAAAATTGCAAAAATGAAAGAGTTTAACGTTCAAGTCTTTAGGGCCAAAACGCCCCAGGCACGCTTACTTATACATGAACAGTGCAGACACCAACCAACCCACCAGCCTGAAGTCTCTGGCGTTCGGCCTCTTGGGCAACCTGCGTTCGGACACCCTTGCGTCATAAATGCCCGTTTCAAAAGGAGAGCACCCAAAGGTCTGCTGTCATCAGCCATTCTCAAAACAGGTTTGCTTCGTAGATGCATCGATTTAGATTGTTCCTTGACAGACATTTGCATGGGGCCTGTGACGTCAACTTTGTCGATCCATTCACGTTGTCAATCAGAACAGTTATATAGCATGTTATTCCAATGAAGACTGCAACACAATTGGGGTGCCTTTTCGCTGCCCCAAAAGTGCTATGATGAGTCTTGAAGTCTTGCATCTTGCTTTCGACTGAAAGACTTTGCAACCTTCTGCCCTTGCCTGCGACTGTGCAACAATGTCGTCAAACTGGCACGTAAGATGCAAGAGAATGCAAGAGATGACAAGTCACGACTTGTGATCAACAAAATCCATGTTTCGGCACGTGTATGCTTACTTGAGAGCACGGGTGTTTCATGGAGTCAACGTGGCGGCATCAGCCTCAGGAAACAAGCGCTTGAATTCGGCCTGTTCCTGCGAACTCAAGGAGCAGTTTACAAGACAAAGATCCTGTTGCTGTAGCATCAAAATGCTTGCCTTGACAGGCGACCAAGAGGGACAGTGCCAGAACTGGAGGTACCATTGAACATGATTCAATTGGATTCACTTCAACTCGGGAAGGGAACCGTTGAATCTGGAAAGTTCGTAGTGTGGTCCTTGTTCCAAGCGATGGACTTGCTGGCCAAATCTCTCCTGTCGAATTCAAGACATGTTCCTCTTCCTCTGCTCTGACTATAGCATGTTTGCTCCCTGAGTCGCTTGTGTCAGAAATGCTACACTTGAGTACACGCCCTCTGAGCACGGCATGTCCAAAACGCTAGAAACCAAATCATTAGTGCGACTGCTATCCTGCGTCCTAGCTACGAGCGAACTTCTAGTAGCTTGCTTCTCCCTTACTTAATAAAGGAGGCTGGGCGGCCCTGGGCCACGCGCTAAAAGTCCAAAAACAAAGTCCTCACTTCACTGGGTGGCGGTGGGTGTATCGCACCGGCCGTTGGAGTCTCCTGGAAGCTTCACACCACGACTCGGGACTCTTGGCTTAGTCTGATGTCTTCTTCCGACAGTTTCTGAATTCGTGAGAAGGGACATGACAAGTGATAGCGATTTGATTGTCAAATGTTGTCGTTCTTGGGGTGGCTGGCTCATTCCGCCGAGTACTTTGGGGGGTGGTTGACAGATTCCGAAAGGGGCCCGAATTACACATCAAGTGTATTCTAATTGTGTTCATTTAGACTTTGACACTGCTCTTGTTCGTGGGCCTCAATGGTCTTCTGGGGTTGGGTTGACATGATTTATTTTTTAAAATCTTCAGGCCCAAAACACTTATTCTTCATGTTTGGGACTTCTCCTCACACATAAAGGAGAGCAAGCCCTTCAAGACCGTGGCCACGGACCAGGCAGGCTGCCAAGTCTCCGGGTGATAGTCAGACCTCGGAGTCGGGCAAGGTCGATGCGTTGCAAAGGGTCGAACGCTGTGGGCAAAGGTCGCCGTGGCAAGGCTGTGGCAAGTGGCAGGGCTCTTTTGAGAAACTCTCTATGAAGCTCCGGCTCTGCAACTTGGGCAGTGCCGTCAGCACCATGTGCTTTTTCTGACATGGCCTTGTGCATACATCTGGGCGATCGGTGAAAAGTTACAGCAAAATCTCAGACGTTTGGCATTTGGACTTCGGACGTGCTGTTTGCATTATAGATGTTTATAGATGTTTATAGTGAAGATTGGTCAAGTGCTTTAGAAACAAATCACACCCTCATGAGGAGAACTTGCCAACACAAGTACATTCAATTAGCAAATGCATCTTCTCGGCATCATCTTACATGGCATACGGTTGAAGGCGTTTCACCAAAAGTGTAAGGATCAAGAAGTGGTTGACTGCCCCCTTCCTGCAGAAGCCATGGGTAGAACTTGCGGTGTGGAGATATGGATCCCCCCAAAGTCGTCAAGTTTTCAATTCGTTGAAACAAAGCAGCCAATGCACACCAGTGTTCATCTTCTGTTCCCTTTTTTGTTGGCGCTTCTAGATTGGAGGCTATCGCTTCTAGGTTAGAGGCCATCGCCATTAGGTTGGAGGCCATCGCTATTGGGTGGTGTTACTCTCCAATGGGGTTCTTTCATGTCAGGATTCAAACTTCCTTCCAAGGATGTCTTGGGACTGACAGCGTTTGAGGCAGCATAGTTGGATTTTTAAACCAACTGGCGCTCAGAAGCTAGCCTTGCTTGGTTGGCAAAGTTATGTCAGTGTCTAGGTAAAGGGGCTTTATTGGAAGTGTAGCGGAAACAAACCAGGTGACGGCCCTTTTGGTGGCTTCCCCCCTCGCGCCATTTCCAAGCCAAAATATCCAAAATCCAACCTAGAGCTCTGAAAGCATTTGTTTTCAGAGCATTTACTTCGCTTAGTTCTGCTACTTCGCTTTTGGGTTCGTCCCCATGAGTGACGTGACTGTGTCGTCTGTCGTTCTGTGCTCCCGTGCATCGACAAACAGAGCCTCGTGTTGGTCTCGAAGCGCCCATTCGGCGTGACCTGAAACCGTCCGACTTAAGCACTTGTTCCTAGTAGCTTCTTTGTTACTACTAGTAATGAGGCACCTGTTACTACTAGTAAGGCACTTGTTCCTACTAGCTTCTTGTTACTACTAAGTCCAGAGTCTCTATTCCCGAAACAGCCGTGTCAGCTGCGACCAAAGAGCCATCAAAATGGACGGCGGTCTGAAGGGATAGTCCTTGGGGAATCTCAAGCGTCCCCAAAACCTCAGTGCAAAGCGTGCAAAAGCGTGACGCTTGATTTGACGTGTGTGCTTTTTAGACGCTTGACGACGCTCGACAGGCTTGACACATCGCTCAAAGACGCCTCGTGGGCAAAAGAAACATTCGAGTGGTTTCGCTTGTCGAGCTTCTCCTTATGCCCTATCTTTGCTGTATGGAACCAAGTGAAACACAAACTGGAACAAACACTATGCCAAAAGACAAATGACTTCCAATGGCATCGAATGACACCAAGATCTTTCACTGGACTCAAATCTCAGACAAAGACCAGCCACCCTCATAGGGAGTCTCCTGGTTGGGCGGCGTTGTCCACAAACCGGAGACGGGACCGTAGTGTGTTTTGCGGCATCCAGGATTGGCTTCAGGACCTGGACCTACAGCTCAGCACTGCTCTATCATACTTCATAGTTTGCTCTACGGTTTTCAACGATTTCAGCGAGTGACAGCATGGCTACAGCTTCAGAGTTGGTCCCTTGCGTTTCCCTCGCCTTAGGGCCTTCCAAGACGTAGTGCCACTCAAGGATGTCCGACTGACAGCATTGCTCATTGATTGTCACGCTATTGGAGACTAATGTGTCCAGCTCCAATCACAATGGGGAATCATTCGTTAAATGTCTCAGCTCGCATGGAAAGCATGTTTGCAGCGACATGCCGTTATGCAGGCACACTTTTGTGGCGGCATGTCGACAAACAGAAAGCTGAGATGCTTTAAAGTCGTTACCGACATGAATCGAAAGCACAAACTGCTGGGTCGGTGTATCGGTGCCGGTTGTTATTTCCAACGCTGTTTGTGGTCGCACTGAGCTCAACTGCAACAGTCCTCCCACCATTTATGACCTTCGTATGTGGCATGTGGTCGCTTCTGCGCTTGATCATAGTACCACCAAATTCTGCGCAATCCTTTCGGCCTCCTCCACAGAGACATGAATGTGAGGAGGCGGATCCTCGCTGATGGCCTACAGTGTCAGCAGTGTAACATAGTGTAACAACATGCAATGTCAGCAGTGTCAGCAGTGGACATAAACCAGTCACTGCTCGTGTGACGGACCGACTCGTGACGGGACTCGGCTCATCAAAAAGCAATCTTGGCTCCCCAGTTGTCTGGATTTCTGGCTGCCGTTGTTTGCAAGATGCTGCTCAATGGCGAAAAGGATGAATTCATCCTCATCTATAGATTTGACTGCGGCCGCGCCTTGATTTCTTTCCGCAGTCTTGAAGAAGCCTTGGAGAAGAACCGCAAAGTTAAAGTAGTTCTCTGGCGAAGAAAGCGAGCGAAGTCGTCTGGATTCAGGACTATCTTGGACTTTGAGTGAATTCACGACGAATGCTAACTAGTAGCGTCCTTGCTCCTAGTAGTAAGGCCAGGAGCCCCTAGTAGCTTCTTGCTCCTAGTAGTAAGGCCAGGAGCCCCTAGTAGCGTCCTTGCTCCTAGTAGCGATGCCCCATGAAATACACTGGAACAACATTCTCCAAACAGGACCAAGATATTGTCCTGCCCTGCAGGCCATGCCGCACGGTATTCCAATGTATTTCAGCGTCCCAGTATTCCTGTGGGCTCATCTTTAATCTAATCCGTCGACCCCACTGATCATATTCGGAACCGTGTCGTCATCACGAAAATCATGAATCACGCGGCTGGACAACGACGTCCGGATCACCACTCGAGAGGAAACGCACGCACTAGTTTGTTGGAGGCCATCGCTATGATATAGGTTCTTTCATTTCTTCTATTGTTCTTTTGAGGAAAAAGCTCCAAAATGCAAACTCTTGGACCATGGGTCCTCAGCTTCACTAGGCTTCCTCGCTTGCTTAGATGCCATGAGGGGGATATTGCGCCAACAGCCCTCTTGACAAAGACTTAGAGAATCATAATTTTCTAAAACTCTTCTTCAGATCTCTCCAACGTGTCCAGCCCAAACCAAAACTGGGCTGCCTCTGCTGGTCCTTTTATTTTCTTTATCACATTTCCTGGAACTTCCATGATATTTTCACTTTGTTACTCATTGAACTTCATTGACGTCTGGCTCCGGATCTTGCGAAGTCTGGCTTGAAACGGCAGGCGACCCGATATGATGAACAAATTGGGGAAACAACCATCGCTGTAGTGAGAGGACAAGCCCCAACCACCATGGCGACTGTTGAATTTTGTGATTACGATACGTTCAAGCATCCAAACACGGTTGAACTTCAACCCTCAGTTCTCCATTTCTTAAGCTAAGGGCGTGGACATGTGCCAGTCGCTTCAGCAATCTTTTTGGACCAAAGCGCATCTTCGATTGTTTCAATGAAGAGGCCCCATTCGACAAGGCCTCCCTTGCCGCACCTTGCAAAAGTGCCCTTCGCCCCTCGGATTCAGGAAAGTTGGAAAGAACAGGACAAGCAATGCTTGCAAGAACCATGACTCTGGATTCGCTTGGAAATTGATGGACCAATTTGTTGTTACCGGAAGTCTTCCACTTGCGTATGGTAGTTTACCACCATCAACAGTGTAACAGCCTGTTCAAGCCATGTCAGTATGGCGCCCCTCCCAATCGTCCATTCTTGAGGAGAGAATTCAAGCAGGTCAAATGCACGTTATTGAGGCCTGAATGAACGCACAATGTCTGTAAAAATACGAGGGACTAGTGCATGGGGTGGTGGGGGTGAACTGACCCAAACCGTCCTGGTCTAATCCTAATGTTTGGTTTTCCACGTGGAATACCCCATCTACTGTAAATCCCTGGATGACAAACCTACATCGTCCTAAAAAGAGTACAATAAGCATAAATCCTTTGGATGGTCACGTCGGGCCATGACACGCCCTTGTGGTCAGTTAGTAGCACTGAATTGGCAGGCTGCTTAGCAGCTGAGAAGCCTTCTGCTTCAGCGGTTTTTGTTATCTCCTCCTTGTGAGGAGATGAAGAGCTGTAAGAGCACAATCAACTTGGAATTTCCCAAACTTGATGCATTTGCTGGCTTGCTCGCAGTAAGCGCAAGGAAGAAAGCCTATAGACACTTGTGCTACCATTGAATTCTAGGGAACTCTAGCCCTTACCATACATCATATACGGGTGGCACTCTCCCGACAGGATTCATGGAGCATTGAAATGCATTGAATGCGTGACACATCGAAATTTCAATATATATATATATTAATATATATATAATTTGTGTTTCCTATGGGCATATGACGAATGTGTCTGTATGGATTTTGCCGCACCTTCGAGGCAACCCCCTTCCAGCTCGAGGAATTCCTCTCGCCAGGCCCAAGCCATAGCGAACCGGGAAGTGAACCGAAGAAGAAGAGGGAAGACCGGGAAGACAGGTAAGACACCAAGACCATCTGAAATATGATTTTATAAAAGCATCATCGAGGATTGCATAGCACTAAAGATCAACGAGGGGGTCTGAAAGTTCATGAACAAATCATAAAGGAGATAGAAGGAAGTTTCGAAGAACGAAGCGAAGGAAGACTACTCCATCTTGCCTTCGCCACCACGCCTATGAAATCGTCTCAGTCAGAAGGGAGAGATGATGCCGGCCAAGTCCAGCATGCGCAACGGGGCCATGGGAGGCCTAACTTTCAATCCGCCCCGCCGCCATCCGTCATCCTCCCAATTCCCGTGGCGGGGCGTGAGTGATCATCATCTGTGTACATGGTAATCATGTCTTCTCCAGGACAATATGAAGACATATGAATGGGATTGGCCCAAATGAAGCAATTTGCTTTTGGACATTGACAGCCCAACAGAATTGTTCACTGTCCTTCGAAAACAGGGGTTGACTGTGGCGCTAAGGACTTTAAGCTCGCTAGGGTTCTATCCTCCAAATCCTTCGGAAGAGCCAACCATCGATCAACTGTGGAAATTCTCAACACAATCATTAGGCTCAGCTGCCCAAATGACACATAGGGACTTACGACTTAGCTGTAACACCAACTAAGTTATAACCCGCACAATGTCCTGCTGCCTACAGAGTGAACATACATTGTCTTGGCCAATGTAGCAACCCTCCATCGAAATTTGTCAATGCAAACATCCTAAACATCCCTTCACAGTGTGAAGTCTACACATTCTCTGTGAGAACTGTGAGATCCCTCAAGCTGAGCGGCAGCTGCTTCTCTTCGGCGATCCGCTTCTCTGCCCCCGTGCCCAGCATCATGGGCAGAACCAACCTGGGGGTCGGGGTCTTTCAAACATTCGCAACCATACCGCCAACACTACATCCTCAAAATGTCTCAGGAACCAAAGAAGCTGATTGGCAACTTGGAAAGATCTAGGTTTCTTCGGGTGTTACTCTTGGAAGACGGGAGACCAGGCCTTTGTTTAACAAGAAAAGGTGGAGAACGTGAAAACATCGAGTTTTCTCGAACAATCGAGTGTCGCCACTGAAGGCTAACTGCACCCTCAGCCTTGCGGCTGTAACTTGCAAAGTGAGGACCTTAAGGGTTGTAACTTATTGTTGTGCAGTCAATTACCCATTGCGGGAATTACCTATTGTGACTCCCGTTGCCGGCACCACAGGATCTGTCGGGCGCTGATTTTGTCCTCCAAGATGCTCAACCTGTGGATCATGTCGCCTCCATTTGCGCAAAACCGTTGAAGTACTGCTTATGGTTTTGCATCGTTTCTGATTGTACGCAAATGGATGAACACCTTACGACATCGGTCGGGTTCAAAGTTCAAAGCCTTCAGCTGAACGTCTGATTCGCGGGAAATGGACTTAGCGATCTAACTCTCACTACTTGGAATGCAAACAAGGGTCTAAAGAAAAGACATGTCTGTAAGAGTCTTTGAGAGAGAATTATGTTTTTTCTTGTTTCTTTCTCTATCAGCTCTTTCATCTTTTACCAACATGGAGAATTCACAGCATCTCACAGCCTTGCCTCATAGGACCTTCGACCACAGGGTAGGTATGCCTCAAAGGAAGTGTTAATGACGCACACCTGTTTCATCCTTTTTCTTCTGAAAACAAGCCATGAAGGCACGGCTGAAGCACTGGCAAAAAAGCATTGCTTTCTTGAAATTAACGATAGAAAAAGCATCGTGAAGCCATCCACATATCAATTGACGTTCCTTTCGTGAGACTCACACGTCCTTTTCCTGCTGTATTTTGTTGTTTTGTCCAACTTGCATTTACAACCACACACATCCGAAAAAATCCAGTTAACATCTCCAGCCGTTTGTCCGAGATGCGTCATGCCCTTGCGCACATCCAAAACCACTTTTGCACCCGCATCTTTCAGCGCGGCGGCAAATTGCTCCGAGGACCACACAGGCACAGCCTGGCATCGCTACTAGGAACAAGGGCATTTCTACTATTAGCTAGAAGATACGAACGTAGCTTCTGGTGCCAAATGTTCGAGGTGCCTTGTCACAATCTCCATGGAACAAATGCAAGGGAGGCAGCTGGCTAGCTGCAGCTTTTCCAACGGCCTGGACAAAAGACATTCCCAAATAGAACCGTTGGGTCATGTTTCAGAATAGTCATATTCCTTATGGTCTTTCATGGTCTTTCTATATCTTTCATTTTGAGACTTGTCTTTGTGTTTTAGAGTCTCGCTTCTGTTTCATGCCAAAGCCTGGCAGGATTTCATAGAAACCTCGTGGTGGAACCCAAGAGGCCCAAGAGGCTGTCCAAGCAACATCCCTCCGGAGTCACGAAAAGGTTTGGAGTTTCCATGAAGAACAGGAACTGCCATTTGGGATAAAATCTCCGAAGAGTTCAACTGCTTTGCGACGTCGGGGCCTTCCACTCCTGCACCAATCCAAGTTCGAAGGGTAAACAAACTACAGTAAACAAGATTAAAAAAACAACAACAATATATATATATATATACACATGCGCGTCACCAACTCTGCTCCTTGTTTTGCAGCAGCGCTTCTGGGGAACAGCCCGGCAAATCCCCAGCGGTCATGTGGGTCATGATGCCTGACGGATGGTGCACAAATGGTTTTCTGAATGTGTATAGCGATTGGCCGGCTCTTTTCTCGAGCATACAATTAATCGAGCACACAATTATCGAGATTCAAATTCAAACAAAGCCAGTTCGTGAACGTGACTTCATCTACTTTCACGATCCAGAGCGGGATTTCTCCTGTGAATGGGCTCCCAGGCAGGAAAATTGAGCCAGGAAGAGACTCAAACTAAAAATCGAGGATCTGAGCCTGGGTAAAGCCCTCGGGAAGACAAGTGGGGGCCCAGCTTCTCCTCAGTGCAGTCGAAGACTCAACACTTTGAGACTAGCGAGCTGCTGATTGGACATCTCATGACGTCTCCACACACACCTCACACACACCAGGCTCTCCTATTCTGCCAAGAAATATCGTGATATGGCATTGCCGCATGGCATATGCATAATATATCCACTTCGAACGTCCAAGAGTCCAAATGGTATGGTCCTGAGATGCCCAGGAAAGCTTGCAAGTCCTCACCATCCGTGCCGTTCGCTACTAACAAGTACATCGCTACTAGTAACAAGTGCCTTACTAGTAGTAACAATTTTTGCTATAACAAACAAAAGTAATTCGAATTAAGTTTAATTACCCATACTTTTCACTTTGGGCCTCCTGGAGCACTTGGGACTTAGGAGCTGTAGCAAATCCTGCCCTTCCCTACCAACTGCCAAGAGTTGCTTTGTCAAACCCGTCCTTCACAGACCAGTTGTCGTTGAAGTCCTTCCCATCAGCGATGTGCTTTGCCTGCAATCTCGGCTCGAAATGCTTGATCGTGCAGCTTTCAAGCTTTTCGAGAATCTGAACAGGCGACTCAAAGGAATGCATTTCAGGGAACTGATGAGTGATCACTCATTGCAATGAACTGTCATTCTAGACCGTAGTGGACATTCTGCAATTTCTACCCACACTGTACAAACATCAGCCTCCAACAAACTGTGCTCCAGCAAAAGCATAGCGGCCAGGTGCGCCCCGGCGCTTTGACCCATGAGCATCACCTGAGGCAAAAAAGGAGTTGCATTAGGACTTTGGCCGCAACTTCGGTGAAAACATAGTGACAAGGAAACGCGGTCTGCATATGTCTGCATGACATGAGAAGAGAGCTGAAGTTTTCATAGCTTATCTCGGCTTGCTTTTACAAGGCAGATGCTCAAAAATGGAGAAGTGAGGTTCCATGTGGTTACATCCGACATCTAGCTACTTTCAGTTCAACATCAACCCAAAGGTCTGTACAGTAGGATGCAGGTGGAAGGATGAGGTAGGCATACTGATACAGCCCCGCAGATTCCATCAAGCCAGCAGGATGAGCCACCTTGGTAACCTCTCAAACAAGTCCCTTCATGTAAATGGTTAAATCACACACACGCAAACACCAACCACCCCGGCTAGACACCGACACCCGGCTCCAAGACTTGACCTCAACACAACCTGACTTCAACTGGGAGCCGCACATTCGAGATGTCGCCACCGTAGCGCTCTATGTTTTGGAAAACCTTGGAGCTACGAGATCGTTTGTGCGTAGCTGCGTAGCCTATGTCTTACGGTAATGTCTTACGCAATCTCAAATCGTAGCTCAGCTCATGCTCATTGAGAGCCGGTCCCAGCGGACACCACGGCTAACATCCTCCACCATGTCTGGGATGCACCCCCTGCAGCTGAAGCCCACAGAATGACCAGCCAGATTCAAGTCAAAAGCAACTGTCTTGTACAAACAAGCAAAGCTCGCAAAGGCTGGCCTTGGAAAATTGCGGTAGTCGACTCCAACCGTTATGATGCCAAACTCCTCTGAGACATTTGAAGAAAGGAGATGACGTACCAGTATATAGTTCGATTTGTTAGGTTTTTGTCAAAACACTACTTTCACGGGACCTTCTAGGATGAATTCAAATGAGGCCTGGTTTCAGCATGTTTCAGCAATGGAGCACGGTTTAACATACAACTTTGGCGACACTGATTTGTTCATGTGTCCAGCATGGACGATCATCAAATCCCTCGCACAAAACGAGACACACACACACACAGAAGCTTCCATGCCTCATTTTTTTTGGAACAACGTTGATTTACAGGATGTGTGCCAAGCACATTGGCCACTGTTAGCCATTTTCAGGATGTTCGTCGCAGTGGGTTCATGAACCCACGCAGCGCGTCGCTCAGCGTCGCTCCATCAGCCGAAGCCCCAGCTGCGCGTTGTAGCCACGGTGCCCAATGATGAAAGCGCCACCCATCACAGCGATCACCACCTACCAACCCGTAACCCGACCAACCCTACCGACATTGGTCCCACCGAGATTATGATAGTATATTGATAAAATGTGATTAAAAAACACAACATCATATTTATGATTAGGCTGCATAGGAAAACAGTATAAGGGCATATAATTCTGAAACAAAAGATGGCCTGTTCATCGAGCGAACTGAAAAGGCTTTTGATCGAAAAGCATGTCCGCACCATGTATAAGTTATAACATCAAAGAAGGTTATATACTCATAATATGAGTTTCGTCTTGTCCACTCTAGTCTACGTCCACATCCACTTTTCTCAAGGCACCGGGACTTTTGCGCCCTTCTCCAGTGCTTCCTTGGGAACCTTAGTGCTTCTCGAAGAAAACAAAGCTGGTCGAAGGCTCGCCGTTCACATCGGGGCTGCCACGTAGATATCCAAATACTCCCGCTCAGCAGGACCATAGCGAATTCGCCGGTGAATTCGTGGATCATGATAATAGGTAAGCCTCGTGAATCCGATCTGATCGAATTGGGACGTGTCCAACTCACCCAGTGTTTCTTCACTTTCTTCACTTCAGTCTAGAGTCTATTCCAAAGTCTCAAATTAGTCTTCACATGAATGCAAAGAAGTTGCATAATGCGAACAAAGGCCGGCAGTAACCTGGCACCCGAGAACGACGGAACGTGCAACATGCAGAATTACTGTTGTCAAACAACAGTCACTCCACACAAATAACAAACATCAAAGCAACAGTTACTATATACCCAAACAGCACAGCCTGAAATCTAAGCTCGCCTGACCAATGCGTGGAACATGTTTCAGTGCATGTATGAAACGGTCTGGAAAAACGCATCAATGCATGTTATACTTGACTTGTCTTTGCTAGAGCCTGCCTCCATGAACAAGTTGTGTTCATTTGATTTTACGCCAGTTATGAACCCGAACAAACCAAACGAAAGCTCTATTACCACCTCTGCAACAAGCTTTTCGATGCTGAGCTGAGCTTCTGAACCGCTGACGAATCCGGCCGAATGCTCTGAAAACCCTCAACCATCTGGACCCTCACACGCCGGTGCTACATGACGGCGTAAAGGCAAAGGCGGAAGCCCAGCCAACATGCCGCGAAGCCGAACTGGAACCACCTACGGCTGGCCAGGCTAAAAAGAGCACTTCTTTGGAACCTTTCCATGTTTTATTCTTTTTGTTTACTTTCTTTCCCGCTATTAGGTTGGAGGCCATCGCTAGTAGGTTGGAGGCCATTGCTTGTAGTTGTTTGACCTATATGGATTGATATGGCGTCTGCTGCACAAATGATCTGGAGTGGGCTCCTCTTACTTAAAGCAACTCAACTGCTGTCAAGTACCCATACCTATCATACACTATCATCATGTTCTAAACCTTTCTATTCGATATTTTCTCAACCTTATGCTTCACATTTTGCTTCACATTCATAGGATTGGTTTGCATTTTCTTTTGATGTTCTAACTTCTCACGCATAAAGGGCCATACTAGTGGGCAGGCGAATCCTTCTCCAAACCAGCACCATTGCTAAAGTCCGGAGTGGCTACTGATGACCACTCAGTGACTGCTCCTGGTAGCAGCTCAGCCGCTCAGCCCTTCCCTTTTCTTTGTCGTTTTTCTGCCTGATGCTGCGCACTGCAAGATCCACCCCGTAGACCAGGAAGTTGAAGTGATCAGTGATGACCTGAAGTTCGTCAAAGAATGCGCTTTCCACTGCTGAGCTACATTTTCTTGTGCTCTTTGTTCTTTCCTTTGTGAGATTGGTGAACTTGTCTCTGCATCTTTTTTTTTCGCCTCTGGCGAACTTGTCTCGGTCTATGCGTCTCAGCTGTTGACGGGAAAGTTCCGATAACCCCAGGACTCCAAGTCGTCATGGAAACCTCATCTGCTGACGTCATCTGTCGGCACATGAAAGGGGTGCGATCGACACGTGCTCGGCATTCCAAACCCAGGCTGTCTAGGCATCGCACATGCCTTCTTTAAATTGAGGGGGAGGTCACAACCTTTGAGAAGAGGCAAAGAAGATGCATCGAATTCACCGATCCACCTTTACAAAGGGTTCCAACTATTTCTGGGTGAATCAGAAAGGAAAAGACCATCAATTAAGCATTGATTGTTCCCCCTCAACAACCAATTGGAGCGAAGCCAGGATGCCCATGACCTTTGCGGAGATGGTCTGGCCCTCCGCATATGCCTACAACCCAAAGGCAACGAACGTGGAGGATGGAGGAACAGGAACCTGTCATTCTCCGCAGTGGACTTTAGGCTGATCATGGATCTGCATCTTGCAAGACACTTGCTACGTCGATCTACACCTGCTTGCTCTGCCAATTTCACCTGGCGCAATCAGTTCCTAACCTGCTTGCCACACCGAGTCCATGCCAGCCTCATGGATCGGAGACTTTTCACGTTCCTGAGGCCAAGTGATGAGAACGAAATCATCTTGAGAAAGACGACAACTCAGCTAACATACGACGATCCTTCACGGTATGTACTTTGTTCTTCTTTTCTTCACGAAATTGGCAAAGCAACTGAATTTAGGATTCTGACGAACTAATCCAGAAGCACAGACGAACAAGGAGCGGTGCTCAAGCAGCACCACTAAGAAGCGATAGCTTTGGCCATGCGCTACACAAGACTTTGGAGAGCACGGGGCCTGCACGTCGGCAGCATACATCAATAGCTCATCAGACTCCTGAGGCAAAAAGTGGGAAACACAATAACTTTAGCTCGAGCAATTCCCACCCTGAAAGGCAATCTAGAAGAAGGTAGGGCACATGTATTGAGAGACCATCCTGGCAAACGCTGGGTGATATGTGCACTGAGACAATGCTCCGACATTTGCTCTGGCATCAAGTCTGCTTTTGGCACATTATCTAGTAGCATAAAGGCTGGGATATGTTTTGGACTGTGTTCTGACATCCTTCAAGTCTGACATGTGTTCTGAGACACCTTCTGGCATGCACTTCTGACAAATACATATAGTCCGACTCCGACTCCTACTCTGATATGTGTTATGATGTGTTATGGCACTTGTTTTGCACTTTGTTCCGACATCTCTTCTGACATGTCGTCTGACATGTGTTCCGTCATGTGCTCTGTCGAGGTCCAGCACGAGGCAGATGAATTATGAGCTGAGTAAATCGTCATTGTGCTTGGATGGGATCATTTGGAATTGATACTTGGATGAAATCCATGTGTACAAAGTGAGGACCTCTCACAGTCTAATGGAATCCATTCATCTCGTCAGGTCACTTGACGCAAGAACCATTCAGTTATCCCTTGTTGAAGGAAAGGGCCTGGAAGGGCCTTGAAGGGCAGGTTTCTTCAAGAACCGTTTTGAGTTCCCATGGACATCCATGGACACACTGAGAAGCGGAAATGGTGCATCCATCCTGGGTAATGGATGCGTTTCTTGTACCTCTCCTGAGAGACGCTCCGCAAGCGTTGCTGCAGCACCGAGTGAGAACCTGGGAGCTCGACCTGAAGGTGGAAAGCCAAACAACCTAATACCGATGGCCTCCACTCCAATAGGTTGTCTAGGAGCTCCCTTTGGTTTGCATGTGTGCCTTTCTCTAGAGAACCCGATGTCTTGTCGCTGCTCTTCTCAATAGACTTTTACAATCAGACATCATTCCAATCAAACCGCATATAAAAGTTACGGTCAACTTAGACTGTGGAAAGAATAGACCAGTCAGTCATCTCAATTGATCCTCTTTGGATTGGAGCTTCAAGAGTTTGCACACATCGCATCCCTGCCTTGGTTTCCGCATTGCTTCTTCGACGCACTTCCATGGCAACAACAGCGTGTTAGTGTGATCCTGTTAGAGGCAACCATCCCGATGACATCTCCAAAACATACACTCTGGTCATTGAAACACTGCTCGTCCTGCAGTGACCTTTGTGCAGCAGCCTGATCTTTCAGAATGACTGAAGCCGGAGGACTCCGCGTACTGTGCGAGCCACGAGCAAACATATCATGCAGATTCTCAACTGATGGGCCGGCTGAATGCCAGTTGCCTTGCATCGTTTTGGTCCAGCAAGGCAACTTGTATCTATCAACGTTCTAATGGTTTTATCCGCAATGAGAATCATTATTCTGCAGATTCCCGACGCTTCGACAGGCATTTTGGCATGTTTTGCCGAATTCAAGCTGATGGAACACACGAACCCGAATGCAAACACGTATATGCTCAAAAAAGAACACCCAAGAACTTTTTACACTCTTGTAGGACACATTCTTGTCGGAAACCTTTGTGGGACACTCTTGTGCACTCTTGTCGGACACCTTGTGTGACACTCACTCTTGTGGGACACTCTTGCGGAACACTGGGACACTCTTGTGTGTCGCTCTTGCGGAACACAACGGGTCGCGAACAAGGCTCTACCCCCAGACCCCCAGAGTTAAACGAGAACCCTTCGCTACGCATTCGGGAAAAGACCACATGATATAAGTAAGAAAGACAGGAATAAACAATAAAGGGTCTATAACGGACCCTTAAACATCGTTAGACACCTTTCCCTACCTCTCTAATTGGGGCGTCACTGTCCAAAACTTTGAGCATCTGGAGGATGGATATTGTTTTGGGACAAGCTCTTGACGTGGGCAGCAAGCTACGCGGAAACACGCTTTGCTGTGCTATCATCCCGCTATTGCGTGTTAACGGGTCTTCCCCAGCTATGACCAGTTGAGACATCAAACAGAGTCATTCTTGACGTGTGACAGTCATACACCGCACTACCGTTCAGACAGTTGTCTTTCGTCTTTCTACTTTGCGCCAGCCACGTGTCCTGTTCAGACTGTCAAGCGCGCCGTCGGAGCACTTGTCCTTCCGGCCTAGTCACCTCCTTGCTATCTGAAAACGGAATAGCCAATGATCGTTCTTCCAGGAGCTCTTGAGATGAAGAATTGACTGCGGTTGAATGTCTCCTTGAAACCTCTAGCTTTTTGTGCATCTTTTCTTGGAGATCTTACACCTGAAGCTACGCTTGTGTCAACCTTCGAGCTACGCTTCGGTGTAAACCACTTCGACAAGAAGGTGAGCCGTCTCGCTCAGAGCCTTGGAGCGGAGACTCGATGGGGCGACGGCAGGACCGAAACGACCACGAAACCCTCCTTTCAGTCTCTTCCATTCTCTTCCTATTAGGTTGGAGGCCATCTCTTCCATTCTCTTCCTTCTTCGGTGCGTTTCATATTCACATCAAGGGCCACACGTCACGTCCTTTGTGCCCTCCTTGCTGACAATCTTGCCTCAGCAAACCAATAGTTTGATCCTCCGTTTAGTCTCTCTCTCTCTCTCTAGAAGCGGTACTCTGATGGCGTCTCTGAGGTCCTAAAGCGAAACGTTTTCGGTTCAATTCACATTGCGTTTTCGGTTCTCATCCGAGATGGCGACACTTGAATCCTGGGAGGTCAACGATGAATCGCCTGGGTGGCAGTATGCAAATAATACCCAAATCGGCCTTTCCTTTCACTCACAAACATGTGCAAGCGAGAGGCGTCTCCAACTCCTTAATGCACTTCTTGATGATGTCAATTGCCTTCCAATATGCAGCTGTGTTGACCAGTGTTGACTGTGGCTGGCAGAACCTGCAAGCCTGCTTGACCTCTGCGCTTGCAAGCTTGTGCTGGTGAGGATGGTTTACCCTCAAGTTGTTCTAGCCATTCTGGTCCCAAACATCTAGGAACCAAATCATTAGCGCGAGCTATCCTGCGTCCAGTTACTAGTAGCGTTCTTTTAGCTGCCAGCTGCCTCTCCATTACTTAATGAAGTAGGTGCCTTATATAGTTAAGTAGGGATGGGGGAGCGGGCTTAAAAGAAGAACAAGAAAAACACAAACACGCATTTGTTATTCTAGTTTTCTGATCACAGGATATCACGATCCCTTAAGGATCCGGTCTCGAATTTCCTCACCTCTGCTTCCGTAAGGTCCGGCTTCCAGTAGCGGTCCTCAGGTGAATCGGCTTCGTGTCTATTGGACCGTTGGTGTCATCAGTTGGTTGAGTTGAGCGACATCTCTTTTTGTGTTGCCTTTTTTGTATCTTTTTCTCAGTTTTTCTTAGGTTTGCAATTTCTTGCAACTTCTAGATTCTTTCAGCCCTTTGGGTGTTAGTCAGGTCAAATTTGGATTCTTTGCCGGTAACCGCCGTGCCGTACTTACAAGATTTGACCTTAGCCTCAGGTCTCATGAGTTTCTCTTCAGAACCACATACAAGCGCGAGCCGATGCTGCAATATCTTCAAATCACGTATATTCTAGGAAGAAGAACCGGGCCTTAAGAAAAACGGTCCTAGTGGTGCGAGACCGCATGCTAGCTTGTCGCGAATGGTCAGCCGTTGATTCTGAGGACTGGGCCATGAGACCTAGGGTGAACATGGCCCCGTAGCCATGAGCCGCCTCGATACAGCAAGCAAAGCATAGCGAGGCCAAGAATACAAATATAAATATGTTTGTACTATTTGCGGAAAAACACCTCCCTGCAGCGCAAAGAAGCATGAAGCAAGTCGAAAGCCTTATTCACCTTCTCGCTACTGGCCAGGTAGTCCTCAGGCACTCTCACAGCGGAGAATCTGCCAAGCAGCACTGATTTATCCAAACGCTTGGCTATCGCTATATTCGCTATAGTGTTCATCTCTTTTTTGCCGGACATGGCCTCAATCTGGGCACTGTGTTGACAAATCTGAGATCACCACCATGAAGTACAAGCTAGGGCCTTCATTGTCTATGCCACCGATCAGCAAATCCGCCTGGACGCGAAAAGAAGCACTGTTTTTTGCACGTGAATGGTATAAATCAAGATAAATCAAGTTTACCTGACATTTCTTCATATTGGGAAGTGAGACTTCATGTTCTACTTAAACTGCAGCCCTTTTTCCGTTACGGTGCGCCATTTCTGTGGCAGCATAACGCGCCATCGGTGGCGCTACCGCCTTGTTTGGACTTTTTTCAACAGGCCGACATGATTTGATATTTTACCCTGACATCCAAACCTTGGAGTTTGGAAAAGCTGCACAAAAAGCACAGCTGGCAGAATTGTTGGGTGTTTATCATCCCCGGTTCCTGTCATGACTGACTGTTCCAGACTCAGTTTATTGTAGTTTATTGAATCTACTGCTGACCAATGCTCTTCAAGGGCGCTGGCTGCCCCACCTTTTTCAAACATGTGACATGTGTCTTAACCTGTGCACGACTTGACCAGCGTGGCGCATTTACAGAACACTAGTTTCTTCAAAGCGAGCGTCATGAGTTTTTACAGAACAAGACTAGTTCCTACGCAGGTTGGCCTCTACGTCTGCGGTTTGCCTTGCAAGGCATTTAGTGCGAGGGAAACAGATTGGCTTTGAAGCGGAGCAGTTCTGGTTGACCAGAGACCGGGTCAAGACAATTCAGCCAATCGCACCTCAGTTGGAAATGTTTACCGGTGGTTGCTGAAAGCGTTTAGTTGCTAATTCACGCTAATTCGGTTCATGTGTTTGTTGGTTGTGAATAGCTCTCCGCCTTTCCTAAGAAGGTGGCAGTTCTCGAGAACGAAAGGGGCCTACAAAGTATCCCGCCCACTGTGCTCAAAGAGCCGCATGAATGCGATGCCCTTTGTTACTAGTAGCTGTTTTTTCCTAGTAGTAAGGCCAGGGCGACATCGCTGCAAATATCAACCCACTCGTTGGCTACAAGGTATAGATACGATCAATAAACTTACTTATTTTACGCCCACCATTTGCTCAAGGAAATTCTTCGGGGTCGATTGCAGCCGGAAAAGGGTTACATCATCATGACTTTGACGAGTTGCTTGAAGCACCAGGATTTGCAACAATGAGACTTGTGAGCTGGCGAAGTTGGAGCCATTTCCTTGGCCTCGGCCTGAGTGATTAGGTCCTCGCTTTCTTTCTTCAGCGCCAACCAGGCGAAACATTTCGGTTGCCGGATGATGCCTCTTCAATCCAACGGATCAATGGTCGAAAGAAGAGGTTGGCCTTCAAGAAGAGCCTTTGCAAAAAACAAATGCCTTTTGACCCAGAGGCCTGTTTTTTTGCTTGCTGTGTTTGGGAAGTGTTTGGCGCAGTTGAATCTCTGAATCTGAAACCAGACCCAAGTAAGGGGAACCCAAGCGGAGGCACCCAACTACAACAGGCGCTGTGTGAGCAGACCCGACAGAAGAGAAGACAAGAAGAAACACGGCGACAAAGCACCCAAGACCCAATCATCGCCCCCAGCCGATTCAGCTCCCAGCAAGCCAGAGACTCGCAAGACTTGGCCACTGCACCAAAAGAAACTCAAACCAATACCAACAATGTGTCAGACCCAAAGCAAAACCAAAAACAGCCGCAAGCCGTGCATGCGCCCGCGCCAAAGCCCAAGCCAGCTGTCATGGAGCCTTGTGGTGATGGTGATAGGGGTGATACAGAGCCTCTGCACACGTTGAAAGCTTTTCGCACATCAGAGTCTTCAGAAGAACATGGGACTCCAGCACGCAAACGCCCCAAACTTGAGAATGTGGAAGCGAAACCTGTAAAAAAACACTTCAGAAAAAACCAAAGCAGCCAAAGAAAAGAAGCAAAGAAACCGCAAGCACATGACAGCGATGTGACACATGCTTCCAAATTAAATATATATAATGGAGAGGATGGGGATGATGAATCAAATGGATGTGAATCCGATGCGGCTGGTGCAAAAAAGGACCAAGAAGCCAACACATGAACGTGGAGCTGCAAGGGGAGGACGTGGAGGTGGACTTATTATTACTACAAAGAATACTTTGGTACTTTCCCGGTTTGTTTGCAGGAAGCAGCTCCCCAGGCAGCTAGCAAGACAGCTCGAACTCCCAAAATGAACGCAGCAAAAACAAAGCCAATGCCAAGTCCCTAGAAGATGCTCAAGTTGAGAGCCCAACAGTTGTGAAAGAGGCAGAGTGGAAGCGTCTGCACTCGGTGTACTGTTTGTGTGGAGTGTGTCAAAAGCCTTGGTGATTTCGGACGCATCAGGATGTCTCAACAAGCGACCATGGAGAGGAAGTGACGGATCTAGCGCATCGGTTGAGATCGCACGAGCCAAGCCGGAAGGATGGGTTTGTGTACGGCACCTTGCTTAGTAGCAAGAAGCTACTAGTAGCAAGGTCCCTTACTACTATTTACTACTAGTAGCTTGTTGCTACTAGCAAGGCACCTGGCTGCTAGTAGCTTCTTCATTACTACACAAATGCAGGTGTTCACCAGGCACTCACTTGTTCACATTGTGTCTAATCAGTACTGGTTCTCCCAAGTTCGAGTCTTGAGTGAGTGCTTACAAAGCAATGTAAAAATGGCGCACGCCCAGTTCAGACTGAATGTGACTATCAGTTGTAATTACTGTCTATGTTACACCAGGCTACCTCAATCTCAACCAACCGTGCTTAATGCGACAACATGGACATTGCAAGATAGTGACCGAACGATCAAGATGTTACTGATCTTTCAACCAGCCAAACTTAGAGTACTCCAGAATATCAAAGAGGGCTCTGGTCTTCTTCTAAGTATCAACTTCCAATACATCAACCCGTTGACTGCCAATTAGATATAAACTTGGGAATGTATAATTATAGGATTGAGAATTTTGGAGATTCTATATTTGCGTTCGCCCTCCTCCTATGGGGGGCCCTACCACATATCTGCTATGTTTGATATTGCATTATATTCGTATTACATAATATTACTATAGTCAATCTGTCTATGCTGCATCTGGCCACACCCCACCAATGACCATCCAATCACCTCTTTATCCGCCTGGAATGGACCTTTCCGCAAGGCATGGGCGAGCTCGTTTCGAGTGAAGCTCGCAGCAGCCTAGCGGCGTGGTGCCGAGGTCTCCAAAAAGAGGAGCGTCGGCGTTGCTACCCCTTACTTCCGGTAGCAACAACGCTTTCTTTAAGGGTTGAAGTGAGATTTCCAAAAAGGACATCTTTTTCATAGTGCACTGTGCTGAAAATAGTTTTTTGCAAAGCTCGCAGGCTGCATACACCCCCTGCAAGCAGAACCGAGTGCGACATCCTTTGGGTTAAAAAGTGAAAGAGTTGGGAAGAAACATTTGGGCTAGGAACTAGAGGCATTTCTCCAAATCTAGGAAGCTGGAAGCAAACCCCTTCCTACAAATCTCTTTCAACTCGCCGGGTGATCCGGATCTGATTACTTGATCTGGCTGAGAGACTAGAACCTCTTACAAGTGGCCAAGGGAGCAGGCTGGTGCAGTGAATTCTTTGACGTCACTCGCTGATTCCAGTAGTAGCGGTAACTAGCTATTTAACAAGCAGAAAAAAGGGAATAGACAAGAAACGACGGAAGGAAAGGGCATGGCAACATTACTTTCCGTTTCAATCTCTCTTTCTTATTCATGTCTTTTCTTGTTTTTTGTGCGTCCGCCTTGGTGGACATGGGGATTCCTGTTCTCAGCTCGTTCAGCTTGACGTTCTTCTCAATGAATTCCATCTGTGCCAAGCCGTGAAGAACGTGTGAATTCCGTGAAGCCATAACTTTCGTCAAGTCTCAAGCAGTGTTTTTCGTCAACTCATCATGCGCCGTATGTGGCCATAGTTTTCTCGGCCCCCTGCGAAGTTGGCAGTGTCTGCCGGAGGGCCAGAGCAAGCAAAGAGCATGTTGCCAACCTGTCAGTTCGTCTCGCCACTCCGAAGATCTCCATTCGTCACGGGCTGACAAAAGGTCCCATTGTGATACATGGTCATTATTGAAAGCAGAGCCCCTAGTAGCGTTCTTGTTCCTAGTAGCACAAAGGCTTCCAGGTGTCCAAAGCCTTCCACTACAAGTCGGCCTTCCAAATCTTGTCTGCATCGTTCTTGAGACGGATGATGGAGTAAGCTGCCTCAAGCGACCGAAGTCAGAAGCGTTCAGGGATTCTTGCAATCTCTGAACTTACAGTACTTTCCATGTCTGAACACAGCCTGGCACCTGCCAATAGAGGGTTGTCCTCTACTCTCCACTGGCGGTGATAAACTTGCTCGCCCTCTGCCTGTGCCCTCTCTGCCGTGCCTGGCCATCTGCTGCAAGGATCACAAAATCCTTGCCAGTAAGGCCAAACCTCGGGGCATCTCTCTGAGCAGCACAGGAATGACGACAAGCACAGAGAAACAAATATCGTGGATACACAGGACAAGAATACCAAATCAATGATGAGACCGACCTTTTTTGAATGCTGCTCAGAAGAAACATTGACGCAGCAAAGGTGTTTTCACTGCCGATTCTGATGCTCCTGAACCAAGATCCCGGCATTGCTTCGGTACCCATGGTGTTCAGGCACCTGATGCAAGTCTCAAGTCTGGCAAGGACGGTCGGGGCAAGCTGCCCCCAAATCCCTGATCCACATTGTGAGAGATGAGTTGAAAAACATCTGAATATGGGCAAGGGCGGCATGAATTGCAGTTTGGGAGAGTCAAAACCAGTTTCCCAGTCATCTCAGCCCATGCTGCCGCCTCCTGGGGAAGAAGTTTTCACGATGTGAGGAATGCCACCACCACCCTCTGTCTCTACGTCTCTCCAGGAGCCAAATGTTGACACACGGAAGACACTTTATCATGACAACATCTTGCACAGTCGCTCAAATTCCCTTGTGCAATGTATCCACGAGTTTTCCCGACGGGGTTTCGGGCCCTGGAAAAAAGGAATGCTAGGATTGACAACCTGTCTGTTGTCTCAACAAATACACAAAGTTCACATCACCTGCCTAATATCCTTTTTAATGGGGGGCCATAAACCGCATACCTGGGCAAAGACAATATGGAATAGCATAAGCACCTATTGGGAATTGGACGAGAGATTGCATCAATCACAGTGGCGGCAATGTATCATTAATTGCGTCCAGAAGTCCAGCATCTGCTGTCACTTCTTGATGGCACATGCACAAGGAACGTGATCGAAAAAGGATTCGTATGTGCAAACTCTGAAACACTGGGTACTCAATGTTCTGCAAAATTGTTTAAGAACAGCCCTTCCTGGAATTGCCTGACTGCCCCCATTTTGCTCTGCAAAGACTGATTGCCTGTCTCAGGTTGGGCATGACTGACGAGAATGCACCAAGAGCAGTATGTGTCACAAGAAACTCAGCAATGGTTTCAATGCCATTGCAACAATCCCCTCAAGCTACACCTTGACAACCCACCAGCTCAAATCCCATTACAAGGGATGACATGATCATAATTTGATAGTTCTTTGAATGCAGCACGTCAAAAGTTTCAGGTGTTATGTGGCCTTCATATGAAAGGGGATACCAGCCCTCTTCTTTGCTAACAACCGTGGAGGGCATGTACGTGTGTAAGTGTGAGCAATGCCTTGCTATCTAGTGAAACATGCTTATATATTCACAAACATCCGAGTTGGGGACTTGATCCAAATCCGGCAAATGGTTCAGTTTTGGCAATGCTGCAACCTTAAGATCGAGATGTGCTGTGTTTGTCTGCTAGAGCTTGCTAGAGATTGAGATAGCTGCTTTGGGCCGAATGAATTGGTAAAACTTCTCAACACAAATCACCAAGCGTCAGCACAAATCTCATCCCGGCTCTTTCGGTAACGTTTGGTCATCTTGGGAAACTGCCCCGGTTCCCCAGAAACAGGTATATTTATGAGGCGGCTAAGTTAATCGCATTCAGACGGAACTATCGAATACGATAGCTTTTGTGAACCCACCAATGATTTTGGTCCTTGTGATTCCCACTTCCGCTTTCATAAGAGCTCATCGAGTCACATCGTGCGACGGGGCTCTCTTGGTACCGAGGACTTCGCAGGAACGGAAGTCATGCAACTGTGGCGCGAAACATCCGGGCATTGAGAGCCACTCCCCCTCCTTGACAAGTATTGATTGAGCCCGATTCCAAACCTGAAAATGAATAGCACTATTTCAAGCTTGAAGCCATCAGGTTCTGCAAACATGAGCTCTTCGGAAGTGAATCAGTGCTGGGGAATGGCACCTCACTTAGCCCAGCAGAAGATAAACTAGTGCCGGGTGTCCAGAGAAGAATATATAGTTCCAACACACCATGAGAGTGTTGGGTGTTAGGGGATGGCAATTCAGTAGAACTCCAATAAATCAATCAAGTGGCGAACCCCCTTTATTCACTGGACTGAAGCATAGCTTTTTGTCCAAATCAAGAAATATTCCCTTTGGGTCCACACTTTAGCATTGGAGGTTTTTTCAACCAATTCTAGGCACCGAGAATGGATCACCCTGGAGTGCAAAGTGCAGCACTGCACCAAGCTTCGCACGTCCCAACTTCTCAAGATTCCGAGGACGAGAACGGACTCTTTAAACTCACAGTTACAACCCAACTTGATCATGGATACCTCGCAATATGTGTTCATAGGCTTCCATATAAAGGAATTGCATGTCTCATTCTGAGAAGGCTACGCATGCTACAGCAGGAATGTGACAATTGTGTTATTGTAGCTGGAAAGCAAACGCATGAACCGAATCGCCGACCGGAGCTGTCGAGGGCATGTCTTGACCATAGTTTGGGGGCTACGTTGGCTAGGTCCTTACAAAGCATTTCGTCCAACGGATTTCTTGGTGGAGTTACAGGCAGTCAGTTTCGCCAGCTTTTCTCCGGAAGAATTTGACTGCCAAGAGCCACAAACACATGTCACTGATGGAAACTATGTGGTTCCAAACCTTGCGAAGAAACTGCACGCCTCAATACTGAGTAACGTACTTAGACAAGGAATGCGGTACACACCTGCAAGCTTCCGGCTTGATGTCTTGGGTTCTGCGCACCTCTGTGGACATGTTCGGCAGTATCAATTTCCTTGGCTTGGCAAATCTCCCGTGAGCTATTTCGCTGTGCTTCATCCGACTTTCAATGGAAGCCCCGTTCTTCCCATGCGGCCGACGTGTCATTCCAAAAGTGGACATGAGCGATCGTGAGCCCTAATTTCACTGGCGTCTATGTTTTGACATTTTACTGTTAAACAAAGAAGAGAGAGAGAGAGAGATAGAGAGAGGCATATGAAACCGGAGACACTCTTACCCACCTTGGAACTCTTTCACTTTCAACTTTCTGCTCCCAAAGAAAGTTCGCGCTTCAGGCCGGGCGAATCATCTTGACAGACTTGCTCGGTCCCGCTTCAACAGAACAACATGTCAACTCACAGTTGAACAAAATCCTGCTACTTCTGCTCAAATTGTGAAGTGGCCACCAAACGGACTGAGCAACATCGGAGCCAGCATGGGAGGTCCGAGGAATTCGCATTGTGTGAAACATCTCTGTGTAGAGGCGAGCACAAAGATTGGCAACCAGACCGGCTCGACTCCCACGAACGGAAGATATGGACCTCAGCTAGTCAGTGACCACGATCCTAATGCTGCACAGGAGTGAAACATCTTTCAAAACATTCCAGTACATGATCTCCGGACATCAAACGGATTGACCCATAATAGTGATAACAAATAGTGAGGAGTGGGAATGCCAGCATCTTGCAAAACCACAAGGTTTTACCCAACTCTCTACCAAGCCGAAAGCTGCTGAAAGTGCGGAGAGTCTAACTTGGAGTGCCCATAGAGTGAGTGTCATGAAGGGCCCTGGTAGTCCAGAGGTCCAGTGTGGACTCCAGTGTGGACTCCAAACGAGTCTCCAAAGGAGTCTCCAAAAAAGTATCCAAAGGAGTCTCCAAACAAGTCCAAAATCGGTGCTTTGATGTTTTCACTGGTTGCCGCTTTTGCCTCTCCATTCACCCTCTTAGCTCTTGACAAAGGCGCCGTGTGCACCATCAGAAGAGCATTGTGAGATCCTTTGGCGTGTGCAGTTGCGCAGTTGCCCATGCTCTGATTTTGCTAGGAAAAGGCCTTGCGACTCTGCTTTCACGTGCCAAGACCTATTGGGTCTTTGGGTCTAACATCGATGATGTTCGAACATGCTCAAAAACCAAGACGATTTCTGGTTGCCTTACACAAACACCGTGGGCCAACTGATGTTTGAACACCGCATATTTTGACATCTTACAAAATCACACACAAAATGGTTTGGATATGGACTGAACAGCAGTCTCAAACATCCAAACCTCTTTCTTGAGCCCTTTAGATCTTTTCCTTCTTACTGTTGTAATATCGTTACTTTTCCTGTTTCCCTTTTCTTTCTTTTCCAATCTCGTTTGCTTTCCGTTCTGAGTGCTCCGGCCGGAGCTCCAGGTCCGGGAGGCAAAGCACCACAGTAGCAAAGCTTCTGCAGGGCCTGCTTCACCTTGCAGCTTTGCGGTGAGAGCTGAGCAGAGCTTCAGTGTTAGCCATTCAAGCAGTATAAACTCTTGATTGCGATGGCCTCCAACCTAAGAGTGATGGCCTCCAACCTAGTAGCGATGTTTGCCAAGGAGTTCTATCTATATTCTGGGTGTTTTGAAGGGTGCTTGCACATGTATGAACTCAGTTTTGTTGTGTTGATTCATATCACTCATGTCACGGGGATTCAAATTAAGAATCGATGGAAGGTACCTACGTGCAATTCACATGATATACGATTCAATCTAGCTGCTTCTCTTGGAGTAATAAAGCAGGCCATGTTCAATTTTTCCGCTCAAAGGTTTCTGAATCATCCGCTTCTTCTCTCTTCTACAGTCTGTAATGCATTGAGGCCGTGACCATTGCAATAGACTCCTTAGTCAACCGCAAGGACATGAATGCAACATACACCTTCGATCCAAAATAGAAAGCTGAAAGAACCATAAAGACTATGCAATTGCTGATTGACAAGGTCATTACTATTTTCTTGTAACCTAGGCTTCTTGGGCTGAACTTCCACAGTTGGAGGCCATCGCCTTTAGTGTCAATTCGATCCCAGCAGCATGTACCTTGTGGACTTGAGGGCCGCCCAGCCGGCACAAGGAACCATCTTTGGCTTTGGAGTTTCAGGAGCCCGGACAGTGGCCTCCTTGAAATGAACGAAGATACCACCACGAGCTTCCCAATCGGCACCTCAGCTGTGGAAAACTGGTGGGAACGAACATGATTCAACAAAGCTCCTAAAGACTCCCAAGCAAGGGCAACCATGTAGACAAGGCTTAGACCATGCTCGAGTGGGTATCGGGATATATATATATATATATTGCGCGCTCAGTTTAAGAGCTTCAAAACAGCGCCACATTGGTAAAAACTGACAGATCCGTGCCAGTTGCTTGAACCAAAAGATCCACTGAAATGTCGCTGGCTTCCCCCTTTCTAACATCACGTACTAGTTAGTCGCAATTAGTTTAGTGTTTACACGATGGCAATTCTGCATGTACCCTTCACTCTGTGGCGCCCGGGCGATACTCTGCACGGTCGTCCACGAGTATCGCACCAGGGTGGCTGAAGAGTGCCTTGTCGCAGGGGTCCACCACGAGGACCTCAGAGACCCAAACAGAAAGCTTTCTAGTTTTGTGAGCTGACCATCTATTGCTCAAAGAACTCTCTGCAGTGCGCCGTCACCGAAATCTTGGCAGAAACAAACACATAATTAACCCAAACCCCATTTCTTTCAGCTAGTTTTGGCCACACCACAACAATGTTCGACTGTTGCATTCTCAGTTGGTGACCCTGTTGGCAGAGAGCTGCAGGTTCTTCTGACACCAGCGCACTTTCTGCGGTCCGGCCTAGGTGCCCACAAGTTCCGTCAGCTGTTTTGGATTTTTGTTGCGATGCCTGGCTTTCCAGTTTTGACATCTGACAAGTCTGGTAAAGGCAACTCGTATTAATGGTTTTGTTTGATTTTACTATTTTGGCAAATCAATATTACCAAATTTATGGGGTCGCAAAGCAACACATAAAAAGAAATTGATCCTAAACTTTCATATACTTTAATGTGATTCATGACATTTATGATCATTTTATATCATTTTATTGGAACCAACTTGTGAAAAACAATATATGTTAAACAAGGAACTCAATATTGTATTGTATGTCAATTAAATGAATGTTCTATGATTTCTTCTAGGATAGAATTTATGACACATATGAACAGTTGAGATACTTCCGCAACCATAAATGCATATGAACAACGGACATAATATTTACCTAACCATAGATGTCCACATAGTTGTTTTCATTGAAGAGCACATACAAAAACGGATCAATCTTGAAGTGTTTTTACACACTTGTAGGATCTCAATTGTCCATTCATTCGAACATGCAACGGAACAACTTGAAACAACGGAATACATAAAGTACTCCTGTCATTCAGATCCTGGCCCAATCACCTGAAGGCGATCCTGTCAAGATCGCCGGGCTTAAAGGCTCCAGGTATTTCCTGCGGGCAAAATGGGAGACAAGCAAATTGCTTCGGATAGAAGCCTAGAACATTCTGAGGCTAATATTAGCATAGGTTGTTAAGGGATTGTGCTTTGGTGCTTTGTGTTCCAACTCGGATAGTTTTAGTATTGGATTCCCAAAGATTGGCGAAAACCACTCGTTGTGATCTCCCTCTCGGTGAAGCAGCCGAATGAACGGGACGAAAGCCGAGTCGACTCTGCGGGTCCAGAGGTCTGTGCCACCTTGCATCCAATCCAACTTGGCCTCGGCAGACTACACTGACCGAGAACCTTCGGATCAGGAGTGACATTCATCTTCCTGTCCTTCACACTCTCAACATCCAAAGCAAGATGCAAGATCCAATGGATTCGAATGATTGTAAGGGTGGTGTGCATTAGGGGTAGAATTCTTCACATCCATTAATATTGTATCCAAAATTATCCAAACTTCATCCACTGAGGTCCTCTTCCCTCCGAGCGGCAAAGAACTCTTTGGTGCGTGGTGGGGCCAGGCGGCGCCACATCCTGGCTGACGTCACTAACGTCCGTGGTAAAAATTCCCGTGGTAGATGGACATCAGCTGAAAGAGGGCAGTAGCATCAGTAGTAGCATCAGCGAGAATGCCGCCAGAATCCAAAGGGGGTAAACTTGACTGGCTCTCCACCCGGTTCGAAACTGGTCTTGGAAGACCTAGAAGTCAACTGAGTCGAGCGGTCATAGATTCATAAATTTGGTCTTCAAAATCTGCATGAGGAAAAGAGACTAGAGTTGCCTGAGCTCCCTGAGGTGGTGGTAGTAGGCGGGGGGTGGTGGTAGTAGCGCAGCAGCGTTCTAGTGACTAGTTTGACTAGTTGTTGCTGCGGCTGTTGTAGTTGTTGTAGCAATAGCAGCGGTAGTAGGAATAGTACTCCCTGATGTTGCAGTAGAAGTCAAGTACAACAATTACCGCACACCTTAAAAGAAAATGCTGTGTTGAACAAGGCAAACTGTGTGTTGACTTTCTTGAAGAATGGCATACTGGCAGAGATCCCCATTTGATACAAACTACTCCACTCTGCTTAAGATTTGCATGTGCTAAAAGGGTACAAAAGTTCGCAGGTCAGGCTTCCGGCGTCTGGAAAACCTGGGCCGTGATTTTCCACAGCAACTCTCTCTTACCACGTGCACCCTTTGTATTCTTCTCTCTTCTTGCTTCAAGTTCAGGCATGTGCAAATGCAAAACTCTTGGTATTCAACGATTTCTGTTTTCTTGGACAGGAACAGGATTCTCAACCAGACCCTCCTACTCTTGGTGGTGGCAATGGTTCAACACAGTCTCCTGTCTCCATGAAGACTGAAAACGTTTTGAATGTGAGTTGCGCGTAGTGTTTCCAGTCAACATCACGTTTTTCAGTAAAGGAAAAAGGAGCCGCCACGTTCGGCCACAAAACGTCACCCATCACCCATGCAAACGCTTATGCAAACGCTAAACACGTTACGCCTGCAAAAAGATGAGCAATACATATGACATTCCCAAGCTGTTTGAACCGTCGTCAACCCATCTCTACGAGGAACTCTTTGGGCTGGTTGCCCGTACGTTCCACGACGCCGCGATCAAAGTCCGCAAGGACCCCGTCCTCTCGAACAAGAGAGAGAGGCAGTCCCGACAAACAATTCGACACTTGTATGTTTCGATTTGTCCTGTATATCCTTCACACTCAATTTGGTGCCATTCTAAAAAGGAAAGCACTTGTGACTGCGACTTCAATGAAGCATAATTCACCACATGCATGTGATGTGTTCATGACCCGCCCAACATCTTGGCAATGTTCTTCGATGTACAAAAAAACAGAACAGTAGTTGTGTCTCTGTAGTTTCATACATTGCTCAAATCCAAGAACAGCTTAGAACATTCCCGGTACAAACACACTGAAAAAAACCAGGCTGAGGACCAGGTCGCAATAGACTTGCCAACGAGTTCCCACCTCTGCGTCGAGAGGTCTTCGCTCTCAGCTTCTCTCAACTCTCCACTCTACTATTTGGACATATTTAGACAGTTCGGCTACCAATATTGAAAACCTTGGAGTGGAATTTATGATATGATGTTTCACACCACAAGAGCATCCTTTCAGGAAGGCATAAGATAGTGAAGCAAGAACAACACATTTGCCAAACTGGTTCTGCATCGCAACAGAACGGTTTGGTAGCCTCTCTCTCTCTCTCTCCTATTCAACTCTTGTAGCATCGTTTCCAGCCAAACCTAAGTGACAGTTAAATCGTTTACGTCTCGTTCGTCAAAATCACAGCTTACGAGGCCTATAGCTGTGAGACTGCTTTGGTAATCTGTCATTTCATTCACATCACGCTGATGGGAATGGAGTGGTTCTCGCATGTTCTCGCATTGCATGCAGCGACCCGACCTGGAGGCCAAATGAGGCACCTGTGACAAACACTCGTCAGCTCCTCTCGTCCTCTTCTCAGACCACCACAACGACTACGTCGCTTGCATCATCATGCCGGCATCACTTGCAGCTTGCTGTCGCAACGTCGCCACTGTCGCCACTTGCTGCGCAGCTTTGTCGCCGCTCTGGAGATGTCTGTCGCCACGCATCGCCATCGTCGAACGGCTCCGTGCATTTGGGGCTCCTCGCCTCTTCGCTCGGAGCGATGTACACATTCAGAATTGAGCGATTGACTTGACTTGAGGGGGTGATTGAGACAGGGCTTCAAGGGATCAACAAGAACATGTCTTTCATTGGTTCGACCACTGTCCCTCTCACTCAAAACAGATTTGATCACGGAGAGATCTGTGTTTTGAGGGAATTGAGACCATCCACGGCAGTGGGCGGCTTTCCACGTGTCCCGTTTGGCGTATCCCACTTCGGCCCGGGCCGGCAAAGGGCTCTCCGGTCCCTGGCACCAGGCGGGTCCGGGTGGAGGAAACCACTGACGCCGCCGCTGGAAACGACTAACAAAAGAAGCGCAAAGACCTCGAAGCGCAGGCGGAAATCGTTTGGTGTTTCGTGTCGTTTCGTCAACTGAAATCGTTTTGCAACTTTACTTTGCATATTTGTGCTGAAGAGACCATGATACTTGAGGCATCTGGAGGCAATCATCAAAAATCGTTTCTTCATGCTTGGATGTTGCAACTCTCAGCTCTGAGATCTCTGACTTCCTAAGATCACGTGTCACGCGGTGATATCGGCACTGGCTGCAGCGCTTCCCACTGCCACTGCAAGCCGCAGGGGAAACGCCGGGGAACCCGCTGATGACCTTCACACCGCTCCGTTGCCTGTGGAGCGCTTTCGACCTCAGTTGCGAGATTGGAAAATTTGCGGAGAAATGACATCACTTCCAGGTTGGAGGCCATTGCTTCCAGGTTGGAGGCCATTGCTTCCAGGTTGGAGGCCATCGCTACTAGGTCGGAGGCCATTGCTTCCAGGTTGGAGGCCATCGTTTGCAGGTTGGAGGCCATCGTTTGCAGGTTGGAGGCCATCGCTTCTAGGTTCGAGGCCATCGCTAGTAGGTTGGAGGCCATCGCTAGTAGGTTGGAGGCCATCGCTAGTAGGTTGGAGGCCAGCGCTTCCAGGTTGGAGGCCATTGCTTCCAGGTCGGAGGCCATTGCTTCCAGGTTGGAGGCCATCGCTTCCAGGTTGGAGGCCATTGCTTCTAGGTTGGAGGCCATCGCTCTAAATTCATCATGTTTCTCGTATTGTTCGGATTCAATTTCATGAGTGATTTCTAACATGGGCATGACTGCGGCATGACCATGCTATACAATTTTAAATTTGGCCTGCAAAGTCTTTGACCTATCTCATCAAGCAAATACAGCACACTGAGACCCTCTCGCTATTGCAAGACTTTGATTATTTTGGCTTTTGGTTTTGCCACGACCATCTTGGAATTTGTGGCCAATGCCCATTCAAAACCCACAACCTGCAATTCAGATGCGCCTTTTCTCTGCCTTCCTTGGCGCCTCATTCCTCTGTGTCACATGCTCATTCCGGCACTTCATCGACGAAAGTGCCCACCTCTGCAAACTTCCAACGCGCCCGCTTCGGTCTCAGGAACCGTGCAGACTCATCGCCGCTCACAGTTGTGCTGCTGTCCAATTCCCAACTGCCTGAAGTTTGTGCTTAATAGTTTGGCCATCGCTACTAGGTTGTGCATCCAGTTTCAGGTCTCCAACCTGTGACCTGCCACAGTCCACACCGTCCATACCGTCCATACCCCGTAGACCTTTTCAAATGCTTTGCCGCGTGTCAACCTTCGTCCAAACATGGAATTGACTCGGGAGGCGTGGGAGAAGCCAGATCTGAGGGAGAAACTCTCGAGCGCCTTCCTGGTATCACTGAACGCAGGAAGAAGGCGACTCGACAGGCAGTGCAAGTACATGCTGGACACTCCCAGCTTTTGTCGTTAAAGAATCGCTAATGTTAAAGAAGAAATGCAAAATGGATTTCACGGCTTTACACTAACAAGTAGAGCTGCGAACTTCCTGACCGCTTTCCCTTCTGCAGAATTCATTCCCTCTGCTGAAAAGCTTTGAAGCGGAATTTGATACCAATGATGAAAACAAGTCAAAGTAATTGGAAGGTTTGACGTCCGCTTGTCGCCTGTGCAGGTTTGAAAACCTGGCGATGTGTTACTCGTTGTTTTTGGCATGGTGTAAGTCTGAGGGCACAGCACAATCATTTTTTTGGTGTGCCGAAGCGAGCTTTGGGTATCCCGATGTATCCGGTAGTTCACTGGATTTCAACGGCAACCTGTGCAGCCTAACCCCAAATCTGGGCATCGGGTGACTCTGACTCGACCCCGGCCACGCTGCTCCTCCAGTGGAAGAGTGCCTCTAGAGACCTGCAAATGGCATCATTCACAATGCGGATTCTTCGGGCCCTGAAACTCCGGTCCCAAATCTAATAGACACCAAACGTCCTCATGATTACTGCACCTAATGCGCCCTACCTACCAGGGACCTACCCACACATACCATCTCATTCAGGTGCAACCCGCAAGTCACGAAGCCACACCTGCGCGCACCAACGCGCTTGCGGCCTGGTGCGAGACATCGGTTTCTGTTCTCTATCGACTGTTGGAACAAGAACGCTACTAGTAACAAAGGGCAGCGCTACGAACGAAGCAAGGACGCCACGAACGTAGCTCCTGGCCTTACTACTAGGAACAAGAAGCTACTCAGCTACTACTGTAGTAACAATTTCTTGGGCCCAATGCCTCAACTACTGTGTCTTCCACTTGTACCTTCCGTTGAGTTTCATCCCGGCTGACCATGTGGCCGCGGGATCTTTGATTCAAACACCGTCGGCAACTGACTAGAGATGTGAACACCATCTGCTCTTTGATGCTTCATTCATGCATCTTCATGTCCTCGTTTCTGGGATCCCAAAGAATAAATTCAACTTGTCTTGGATCCTACTACTGTTCAGGTCTGTTGGCAGAAAGAAATCCAGACACGTTTGGAAACCAACGATAGAGTTAAAAAAGGTTAAACGGCTCTATACTGCATGTGCTGTATGTTGCCTTTTTGCAGATTTTGCCGTACTTTCCTTGGCCAAACTGCTTCTAGTCTCTGTTCGAAGATTTCGCGCAGGCTCCGTGAATGAAGATTGGTGAGAAAGTGAAGCAATGGAAACAGGTGGCTGGTGGTCCCATTCTTCGGAACTTTCTCTCTACACCGGTTGTCCATTTGCAGATCACGCCCAATTTCTTGAAAGAAGGATTCATGTATCATATGGGTCTTATTGGCAGTCAATCTGGATCATCGGATCGGACCCTGTCAAGAAGACTTCACAATTAATTCTGAATTCAGCTACAGTCTTTGCTTTCATCCACTTCAAATATATAAATCTCTGATTTTCTTCATTTCCTTCATCACCTGGGTGGAACCTGAATTTCTTGTTGCACACATCAACAAGAGACACCCCGAAGCACAGCGCCCGGTGAAGCGGCACCTTCACGCTTTGCGCTTCGAGAGCTCGGACGCGTGCGTTTGCTACGCTTCTCGGTTGGGCGCTTGCTACGTGCGCGACCTCAGTTCAGGGCAGAACAAGCTTAGAAAAGTGGAGAAACGCGAGAGCTGATGTCTCGAAATTGATAGACATTGGGATTGTTAGATGTCTATCCAGAGAAAGACCATGAACATGTTGCAGCACAGAACCTGGGGTCCAAAAATCCAACATCTTTCCACGCGAACATGCGATGCTAGTGACTGCTAGTGAAGATGCGTTTCACTTTGTTTTCCTGCTAATTACTTGCTCTGTTCCCACTCCTGCATCTTCTACTGCTAGAAACTACTCGCTTTGCGTTCGCCACTCTGTGAGGACAAGTTGCATGGCGTTCGCTCGGAGTCGCCGTTGCGCGCTTTGCCTCGTGCACGGACGATCTGAGACGAACGAAGCACCGAGCACCCATGTTGGCCCTTCAGACCTGAAACCCTTGTCGCTTTGGCTCACATCACTTCAATCTTCGAATATGCCGAATTCAATTGCCTCATGGCCTCACCGAAGACTGGAATATCTTATGTAAGTCAGGTGGCGCACCAGATTACGGGTCAGCCCGTTTCGCAGAGGTCTAAACAATCGCCGTTGTATCGCCGTTCACCGACTTTCAGGTTCCCGGCGCGGTCGAGGAGTGCTTCTGCGAAGGCTCCTGATGAAAGCAATGTGGACACAAAGGGATCATGCCATGCCAAAGTAGTACAAAGAAGCTACTAGGAGCAAAGGGCATCGCTACGAAGGGAGCAAGAACGATACTAGGGGCTCCTGGCCTTACTACTAGGAGCAAGAAGCTACTAGGAGCAAAGGGCATCGCTACAAAGGGAGCAAGAACGATACTAGGGGCTCCAGGCCCTACTACTCACAAAAGTTGCGGTCAATGTCTGCGCGCATCCTCCGGCCCTACACCGTGTTGGTGGGTGCCGAGGAGTTTGGTAAGATATCTACGTGAAAGATATGAACAAAAATGTGCAATGTACAAATGAGTCAAGTCTAGCTACGTGAAACCGAATGTCCGCGTGGCACGAAGGGCTCGAATCATTTAATTCCTAATTCGGATCGGCCGGGATAAACACGGTATCAAGGTCTCCTTGCCGGTTCCAAACCTTTCGCAGGTTTCGACGATAGAGAAATCGTTGATGAAAGGTGAGCGAGAGTGCTTCGACGACCGGAAGAGACGGAACGATAAACCGCATCGGGATCAGACCATCAGGGTGGTAAGGAGGTTTACAATGTATCAATGTGCGTTGTACAGCACCGGCATTGGGCATTTGAGGACGTAATGCGAATCCTCCGGTGTAAGAACGGCCCCAGCCAACTTGTGTTAGACTGACGGATCCGGTCTTAGTGTATTTGGGGAGCAGTGGCGTGCTCGTGTAACTTTGCAAGTAAATGACGATGGTGCGAAAGGCTTCGGCTTGCTCACGGAGGGCTCGTTTAGGTATGGGCAGAGCCAGTACCTTTGGATCTTGCCAGTGGACAGGTTGCGCTCTTTGTGAGTTAGGCAGATGAACCCAGGTGGGAAACTGGACGCCGGTATTAACTACAAAAGCAATGGTAAGCTCATGCCAGGTAATTCCCTGAGTGATCACTGGGTCGGTGTGATCGACCATAGGGTCCGGCCATATGAGAGATGCACAAAAACGAAGCACCAAATCTGCATATTGATTGCCCCACACACAGGCGGTAAGCCAAGCAGGGTGGATATCTGGGTTGAAATTAAAGGTTGGAGGAGGGACGACATATTGTTCTCGCTGGCGAAAAATGTTACCCCAGTCTAAGGAGGCTTCCTGTTGTGCTGACCCGGTACTACAGGCAGGTTTGGCAGTTTTATGTTGAAGGTGACAGAAGTTAAGATCAGCCAAATACAAGAGGATCGCCTTAGTTTGCCTGTATTGATCTTGATGCCAAATGTTGGCCTTGGAGAACAACTGATCGATGATGGGATGGTCGGTTTGTCGTGCTCGCACAGCCGCGAAATCTGCCCATGAATTGCCTAGTGCGTCATCACGCGTAGGACCAGGTGGTAACGATTTATAATGTCTTGGTGGGAGCGGACCTTGCGCAAAACAAAATGCGCAGGTTGCCAGAATTGTGCAATGATGCGTAAGAGATCGGCATTG